GTGTGTTTAGTTTGCGGGGAGCAGATCGCCGTGTTTAAGGAGTACAATGTGAGTCAGCATTACGAGACGAAACACGCGGAGAAATATAAAAACTTGACTGACGCTGAAAGGGCGCGGACATCGGAAGCTTTGCTAGCTAAGCTGCAAAAGCAGCAAGGCTTTTTTACCAAGCTTCACACATCCAGTGATGCAGCAACCAAGACCAGCTTTGTGATATCCCACAAAATCGCTAAAAACAGTAAGCCGTTCTCGGAGGGGGAGTTTGTCAAAGAGTGCTTGGTGGACTCTGCAGCACTAATATGCCCTGAAAAAAAAGCCGCATTTGAGCAAGTCCCGCTGTCCAGGCGAACCGTGACTAGAAGGATCGAGGACATTGCGGGGAATCTGGAGCTTCAGCTGCAACGTGAAGTGGCAAGTTACAACTTTTTCTCCTTGGCTTTGGACGAGAGCTGTGATGTCCGCGACACAGCCCAGTTACTCGTATTCGTCCGCGGGATAACACCGGACTTCAAGATTACGGAGGAGCTGGCAGCAATGCGGTCGATGAAAGGGACGACGACAGGGAGCGATCTGTTCACGGAGGTAAACGAGTGCATGGACACGCTGGGACTGAAATGGGACAGACTGGCAGGTGTCACAACGGACGGTTGTCCAAATCTTATCGGACTTTTGAAACGTATGCAAAATAAAGTGACTGAAATCGACACGGATCAGAAACTGGTCTTTTTGCATTGTATTATACACCAACATGTGTTGTGCAAGTCAGTGCTAAAAATTAACCATGTTATTGATGTTGTTACTAAAATAGTAAACTTCATCAGGGCAAGAGCTTTGAACCACAGACAGTTTATCGCACTTTTGGAGGAGCATGAGACTGAGCATCGTGACATCGGCTACCACACAGCTATCAGATGGCTCAGCCTGGGCAAAGTGCTAAAAAGAGTTTGGGACCTGAAAGCAGAGATTCGAGAGTTTTGTGAGAAGAAAGACAAAGACTTCCCAGAGCTCTCAGATGAGGACTGGATGGCAGATTTTGCATTTGCTGTTGATGTGACTGCACTGATGAATGAACTGAACACCAAACTGCAAGGCAAGGGCCTTTTTGTTCATGAAATGCACAGCCTGGTGAAGGCTTTCATGACAAAGATGCAGTTTCTTTCAAGCCAACTGGAGAGCAACACTCTCACTCACATGCAAACCCTGAAAGAAGTCACACCATCAGCTGATCACCTCCGCAGGTACTCATCCATGTTGGGAGCATTGCATGGTGAGTTTTCAAGGCGATTTGAAAATCTCAGAAAAATCGAGGATGAAATGCACCTGATTTCCTCTCCCTTTACCTGCAGTGTGGATAATGCACCCAGTGATGTTCAGCTGAAACTCATCGACCTGCAGTCTGATGCAGTACTGGCAGAGCACTTTAAGTCAGGATCTCTGCTGGATTTCTACTCTTCTCTCAAGGAGGAGAACTTTCCAAACATGAGGAGACATGCTCAGAAGATGTTGGTTCTCTTTGGCTCGACCTACATATGTGAACAAACATTTTCAATTATGAAGTTTACGAAATCCAGGTATAGATCCTCTCTCACTGATGATCATCTGTCAGCTGTGCTTCGCATCTCCACCTCAGACATTCAACCTGACTTCGATGCACTCGTTAAAGCCCAGCAGAGACTAGATTTCTCTCACTGAACAAGAAAAGAGAACTTAAAAACACCAAATGAGGTGGTTAGACTACAAATGTTGGCATGTAAAGGCACCAACTAGCAGTGAACTGGGACACTTTCTTTGGAAGCCTTTTTCTCAAAATCACAGTTCAGTGATGTTTAGTGACAGTTCAATATGATGTATCTTGCTTAATATTTGGAGTACAAAGACAATATTGTGATGTCTTTAGAATGCTAAGAACTTCTTTCCAACAGTAAATGAAACTCAAAATGTGTTTGAGTGAATGTGACTGAAAATGTTCACTAATATGAGTCACAAATGGTGAAAAACGTTCATTTTGTTTACCATTGTTTTGGGAAATTTGATTTAATAAATGACATTTTTTTGTAAGGCAACCTCACTTTTTCATTGCTTAACTATAACATATACTCTTACCAGCTTGTCAAAACAATGCTATTTACTGCTTTTTATAAAGAAATACAATTAATATTATGCAGAATTTAGTTCAGCCTTTTGGCCCGGCCCTCCACAATATTTTCAGTTTCTCATGTGGCCCCATGGAAAAAATAATTGCCCACCCCTGTCCTAGGTGGTCTAGAATCCTAAGCTACTGGTAAAATAACAACCAATGGACAAATATGCGATGGCCCTATAGCCAAAGATCTTCCTAAGGGCATGCTCTAACAGTGTGCCAAAGTTCATGTTTTTATCATCAAAAGCACAATTCTTTCAGATATTTCACATATCTGCTGGGCTATTAATCGTATTTGTTCTACCAGCTCTATCTGATATTGATGTAACGAACAAGTAAAAATGATTTGAACATTTCATTCTACACGCCCATTCTTCTATTGAAGCAGGAAGGAGGGAACATTACAAAACTCTCTGCATTTTCAAAAGGGGGGTAATACAACATATAATTAAACGGCTCCAAAATGTTATTCAAATAATAAAATTCATTTAACTTCAGAATTTAAACCTTTTAAATGTTTTTTTTAAATGTTGGTTTTTTTATAGGAGAAAAACCAAAACATTTAATTATTTTATGAACAGTAAATGCTAGCGGAGTTTTGGGATGTCCATCAACAGCATTGATTGAAGCCATGGCTCTATATTGAAAGCCTGATATAATATAATGCACAATGTTTAGTGTGAGGGATGTCAGAAAATAAATGTTGCAATGGGAAAATCTTTGTAGTACTGTGTCTTTGTAATTTACACACTATGCAAAGAAATGCATTCAGCTTTTTGAGCTCCATCAACTGAGCTATTTTCTTTTTTGTGGGACTAAAAGTATATATATTTTCATTAAAAAAAATGGTTGTTTGTATTAAACATTTCTAGATCCATAGTAAATTAATAGGAATAGGAGTTTGAAAATAAAACACTTACTTGTTTTATAACATGTCATTACTTACCCACACATCTGTAAATGTGTGTAGTTTCAGTTTCTTGTTGTACAACTCAGAGATGGGCTACATCAGCTGTTAGAAAAGGTAGATGCTATACTGTCAGTACCAATTTTAAAGGTCTCTAAATAGTTGCACAATGTTTGATCATTGTTGAAGGAAGTGAATGTTAACATGTACTTAACAGATTGGGAGGCACAACCCACTTCTTAAAATGCCATGGACCAGTGAGAAAAGTACACTTAATTAGTCTAAGACAGGGGTAGCCAACACGGTGCCCGCGGGCACTTAGTCGCCCGCAGGGGTAACGTGAGTCGCCCGCGGGGCATGTTCTAAAAATAGCTCGCCAAGCAAATCCAAAATGTATAAAATACACAAAACAAAAAAGGAAATGTAAATAAAAGAATCTACCCTATGCATAAACGAAACCTAAATCATAGCGAACTCTATCTACTTACTACAACTCTATATCTATCTAACACCCCTCCTCCCCCCACCCCCACAATGAATATCGACCAATCACGTTCTTGCTTGATTTGCGGGACCAGCGTTGCAGTCTGGAAGAAAAGCAAATGTGGAGTGGCAGCTCACCGCTGATTTTCCTTCTGGCAGAATCTACACAACACATCAGCCCCATTGAACAACCTATCATGCCAGCCTATACAACACATGAGGGGCAGAGTTTTACTCTGTGTGTTGCAACTTGCATATATATTTATTGCACTTGACGCACACACACGCATGACGTAATTTCCACCTGGGAGAGGGGGGAAATGTCCCCCGCTCTTTTCGAAATCCCGTTTGTATACTTTACAAATATGTTTATTATTATTTTTTAACGCAAGCCGTCATCGACACGGAGGAGCACACAGCCTCTGTGAGCGAGCGAGACAGAGGGAGAGAGAGAGGGGGGGGGGGAGAGAGAGAGAGCGAGCGAGAGAGAGAGGGAGAGAGAGAGAGCGAGAGAGAGAGGGGGGGAGAGAGAGAGAGCGAGCGAGAGAGCTAGGGAGAGCACACCTTTATCTATTTAATATAGATAAAGTAAGAAATCATTCCAATGTGTATAGGACAGTAAAAAAAACAAAAAACAGTTTGAAAGGGGAGTGATTAGTAAAATAAGCATAAATAAAATAAGCTAACATGAGATAAGAATAAACCAGTTGAAATGATTTGTTATTGGTTGTGATCATATTCTAAAGATGTTTGGATTATTGAAAAGTATACAGCTCCCTTTCATCGGAGTGTTGAGAGCTGTATCCATCAATTTATGTTGTGCTCAAAGTGCTCCAGATTGATGCATTTCACTTCACTTCACTCAAATAATCTTCCCGGGGGTGCATGCCCCCGGACCCCCCTAGAGGAGGTGAGGCCCGTCCACCCCCAAATAAAGCAGGTTAAAATAATTAAATTGCATACATGTTCTTTTAGTAAACACTGAAAATGGGTCCCACAGACCCAAACAGCACACAAAGGTTAAAGGTAAGCATATCATAATGTTAAAATGTGCTAAATATATACACTGCAAAAAACAAAAACAACAAAAGGGGTAAAAGTAGCCCCCGACTTGTTTTATTTTTTTAAAGTAGCCCTCACCCTAAAAAAGGTTGGTGACCCCTGGTCTAAGAGGTAACAGGAAAACTATAGTATATGTCAGTTGATACAATATAGTTCTTACTCATAGGACTTATGTTAACATTTACCAAAGATCAACATTCAACAAAAAACTATGCAGACTGAGAGTGACTGATTCACTACTATGACGGCCTCTGTCATATGTACATGAGGATGACATGTTGTGATAAGCTCTTCATGGGTGTGATCTTACTGGTGAAAATAACCACAATGGTTGACACCCAAAATGTCTATTATACCCCTCCTTAACTGCAAACACCCAATGAACTATATTACATGATATTTCTTCGAGCAGGATCAGTTGGTTCAGCCACCCCGGTCAGGAGCAGGATGAGGATCATGAGAGCAGCCGAGATGCTACTCGAATTGGTGATACCATGGCTCACTCTCTGCCTTTTACCACCTGCCGCCAGCACCGGTATGTAATCTCAACTCACACAGAGAGAGCAGCGTATATCAAATCTAACCTTAATGCCTTGTGCTTTATTTCAAGTAAAAAGGACCCTATCCTGGGAAGAATTGGGATTGGGGTAACAGCTGTTATTGTATAATTTAATAACAGCATATTAATACAAATCAGCATTAAACATCACCAGCTGATTACCTGCATTAATAAGTCTATCTTTATATATTTAGTGTTACTCTTTATCCTTTAGTTTAAAATGGTTGTTTATTCAATAGTTAATATGGTGTTAAAATATGTAAATGAGGGATTTTTTTATACTTAGAAAAAAACTGCAGATGCAAATGAACAAAGAGTAGTGAAATGAACTGTGTTTTTTTAGATGTTTTCTTTCTGTTATTCTGAAAAAGTGTTGATTTTTTTCATGTGCATACTGTATAATACAAATATCAACAGCGTCTTTTTCTGACAATATTGATCATGTGTCTTTTTTTTCAGTCATAGTTCAGACCATGCACCAAATGCCAGTAATTACAGGTGATTTGTCTTTTTTGTTTGAGGATGAGAGATAGCAAAACAAACATAATTTTCAGTTTCCACTAAAATGTTATTTGTCTCCATAAACTAGAATTGAGACCAGCTCACAATGATAAGATCTGCAGTACATGGGGCAACTATCATTTCAAGACGTTCGATGGAGATTTCTTCCAGCTTCCCTCACCTTGCAACTACATCCTTGCATCCCAGTGTAAGGGAACCTACGAAAATTTTAACATTCAGTTCCAACGGCAGGAGATAAATGGGGTCCCCATCATAAAGAGGGTCACCATGAGACTGGACGGGGCTGATGTGGAATTAGACAAGACTTCCATCAAAGTCAATAATGAACAGTGAGTCTGTTGTCAAAACTACTTTCCAATACCAGCTGATATACGGGTTGCAGTGATGGTTGATGTCATCTAACTGTGATGATTTATTTTTGTCCCCCTTTAGTTTCACTTTACCATTCAGCCGGTATGGCATTACAGCCGAAAGGACTGTCTCTTATGTCAAAATCGAGGCAAAGTTGGGCGTGGTCATCATGTGGAATGAAGAAGACGCACTCTGGGTAAGTGCATTTATCATGTGCTTTCTATTGCACAAATTATAACTCATATTGGTTTTGAAATATATTTTGATAACTAAGGAAAATAATCGAATGAAAGCATTCACTTAGTTTAAATGCTATTTGAGAGATTATAGAATTGATTCAATAGACATAAAGAATGAATCCGTAGCAAGTCAAAGGAAGTTATTTCTGAAAATGTGCATAATGATAAAATAAAATAATTCTTAACTGTTTTCTAGGTTGAGCTGGATGCTAAATTCAAGAACCAGACCTGTGGCCTGTGCGGTGACTACAACGGAGTCCAGCTTTATGATGAGTTCTTTAAAGAAGGTAAATACTAAATAGTAAAGCGCAAACCAATCTGCACAAAATCTTTACATTTGCTCATATAAAACCTCTTGTTCCGGCAGGGAAGACAGTAAGCCTTGATTATTTTGAGGAGGCCTGGAAAGTCAATGGTCCTACCGAAGACTGTGAAAAAAGCTCCCCTCAAGACAAACAGACCTGTGAAAATCAAGTATGTCAATTTGCTTAAAATAATTCTCAAACAACTCAAATGACCTTTCACTTATATCATCTATTGTCTTTTTAATGTGTATTTTACCTTTGTTTAAATATGTTGCATTTCTTCTTCTTCTTCTTCTTCTTCTTTTTCTTCTTCTTCTTCTTCTTCTTCTTCTTCTTCTTCTTCTTCTTCTTCTTCTTCTTCTTCTTCTTCTTCTTCTTCTTCTTCTTCTTCTTCTTCTTCTTCTTCTTCTTCTTCTTCTTCTTCTTCTTCTTCTTCTTCTTCTTCTTCTTTTATTAATATTATTATTATTATTAAATGAAATGTAGGTACAATTTAAATATACATATACTTTGACCCCCAGACCGACCTCTGTTCGAACTTGCTGTCAGGCCCTGCATTCCTCAGCTGTAATAACCTGATTGATAAGGACTCTTTCATCGGAGCGTGTGTGAAGGACATTTGCAGATGTAACAGCAGTACCACATGCTTGTGTTCGACCATATCAGAGTACTCCCGCCAGTGCGCTCATGCAGGCGGGAAACCACACAAATGGAAGACTACACAAATGTGTGGTAAGAACAGCAATCAGAACATTTAGATGATTTGTTGTATGTCATTATTTCAAAATCACTGTTTCTAAATAACATTTTTTTTTAATAGCAAAAACCTGCCCTTTTAACATGGAGTATCAAGAATGTGGTAGTCCTTGTACTGACACCTGCAGCAACCCCCAGAGAAGCAAAGTGTGTGAGGATCACTGCGTAGACGGATGCTTCTGTCCATCTGGTAAGTTTTCGTTTCCATAAACTTAGGGGAAAAACTGAAATGTTAAAGGGTTTACTCATTTTACACAAGTGATTATTTCATTATTTGTATATACCTTTTTTTGGCTCTTGACTTTTGCTATTTGTGTGCAGAATTAATAATTCATGCTGTTAAATTGCAGTTAATAAGTTAGTTGTCTACAAATACTGAATTAATGTTGTTAATGAAGTGAAGTTTACATTTGTCAGCTCCCAGTTGAGATACTACATTGGACATAGCTTCAATTAGTGCAAAGGTATAATCCGATTTAATGTCTGATGTTTGTGGTTGGTCAATTTTCAACTCTTGTCCCTAGTTTGGCTTTACATGTGCATTGCCATTAAAATAAATGGTGAAAGTTGTCAGGCCATGGACAAAGACATCTAAATTAGGTGGATTCAACGCAGTTTGTGTTGATTAAAAATATTTGTAAACTTGTATTGCTTTTTAATCGTTTTTAGTTGTTTCTTTTTACCTTGAAATCTGCCTTTATTTGGGTTTGCCTGAGTATACAGTTGTTACATCAGAGAGTGTATTGAAGGTAGGAAAGAAAATATCCATTGTAAAAAACAATAAAATAAGTTACTGTTTAAATATTGCATTGAAATATTGTGTACAAATTCTAAATGGGGTTTGCAGTTTACTTCACAGACCTGACTAATAATGTCATTATGTTTTTCTTAAGGGACTGTCTTTGATGACATAACACAAAGTGGGTGTGTTGCTTTTGACAAATGCTCCTGCACACACTATGGCAAGTCATACAAACCAGGAGAATCATACTCAAGGGCATGTCAAAAATGGTAATGGTTGACTTAAATATCATTTTCAAAACATTTGTATTCAAGCTGATTTGTTTGATTTAGTGAACTCTGTTTGCAGCACCTGTACCCAGGGTCAGTGGAAATGTATGGATTTGGACTGTCCAGGTATCTGCTCCATACTGGGGGGCTCCCACATCTCCACCTATGATGATAAAATGTATACTTTCCATGGAGACTGCTCTTATGTCCTCTCCAAGGTGAGGCATTCATATTTAAATGTTATCATCCTTTAAAAAAGATCGCAATCTTTGTAAATAAGCAAACCAATTGTAACCATGTGCATTTGTATCTTCTTGACTTCAGGAAGCTAATGGGACTTTCAGTGTCCATGGTGACCTTGCCAAATGTGAAATATCAAAAAAATCAACTTGCCTGGGAGCAGTCACCCTAAACCTGCCTCAAAACATGGTACAGTGTGTTATGGTTTTCTCTTAATAAAGAAAAACATGTGTATGATCTTCATTTCTTATCTGTTGAAAAAATTTATATTTACCCAGAAGTTTTTGAAATATTGTATTTGTTTCCCACTGCAGAAGATTGTAGTGCAGGCTAACGGACATGTTATATATAAGACAATGAGAACTCCGTTGCCTCTTTTCATGGGTGAGTTGTTATTTTCTAGTAAGTCATGCACGGAAAAAAATGAAATGTTGAACGCATTATGACAACAAATTTAACAAAACTGGAATTAGGTTACTTGAAAGCATTCATTTTAAGTTTAAATTGGTCCAACTTAAAGGTCAACTATCATACTATTTTTAGGCAATAGCATAGGTCTCAGATATATAAAAATATATAAAAAACATGTCTATGAAGTGTTTTGCTCAAAATACCAAACAGATCCACCATTCTAGCCATGCGTCATATCCCTCTATTTCACTTCCTGTTACTAAAGTGCTGATTCTGGTTATAAAGCTTTAAAAAAAGAATAATACAAAAATAAATAAAGAGGGGGCGGAGCTTATGCCTGCTCATGTGGGAGATTTCTACCGGCAGATACTGCCGTGATGAAACGTCCAAACCACATCAAGGATTATTTCTGAAACAGTATGGAGCTCAAATGCTTTTTCTCTTGCCGGTTTACCACAAGGTGATTTCCTTTTTATTTCCTGCTTCTTCACACATGCTCTCTCCAGTACAGGTTAGCTCTGAGTGTTAACGATGCTAAACAAAGACCATATTATGTCCAAAACAGTCGGGCATTGTTTCTGATAGCAACGTTTCTGATAGGGCCGTGGGTCCGCATTGCCGATATTACATCATATCGGACGCAAATCTGGATCAGCTCCGTTGTTCCCCCGTTTTTAGAGATTTGGGTACAGAGGAAAAGAGAGAAGGTGTTATTTTTCTGACGCTGTGTGAGTTCCGTGACACACCGGGGACACATATTTATGTATAAAAGACATAAAAAAGTGCATTTTGCATGATAGGTCCCCTTTAATATAATTGCTTTCACCTAACCTAATACAGTTTTGTGAAATGTGTTGACATAATACATTTAATTAAACTCAACGTTTCAGTTTTTTCAGTGTTACATATAATTAAGTTTGCTCAAATAAACTAAACAGTCTCTTTATTCATAATGAAAAACGTGTGTTTCCCCCCGCAGATGACATAACAGTCTTCAGCCCATCGACATTCTTCATTGTAATCCACACCAACTACGGGCTTGATCTTGAGATTCAGCTAAAACCCATTATGCAGGTCTACATCAAAGCCAGTGTTCGAAATAAAGGAAAACTCATGGGTTTGTTATACTTCTTATAGTAATAGTGTAAAACATCCACATTTTGCAATGAATGTTTTATTAAGTGTTGAGGAATCATATCTTGTCCAGGTCTTTGTGGAGATTTTAATGATGTGGAAGCTGATGACTTCAGAACCACAAATGGATTGATTGAGGGAACAGCGTGGACATTTGTCAACACATGGAAGACTAAGCCAAGTTGCCCAGATGTTACAAACATAATTGGGGACCCCTGCTCATCGAGCATAGACAAAGGTAGGTCACATACATGTAGTACTTTATATTTCAATATCATTTTCTCAATGTACCCAAATAAATATGTATATTTGTGTTTGTAGAGAATTATGCCAAGCACTGGTGTGGGATGCTGTCAGACCGAAAAGGGATTTTTGCAAAGTGTCATTCTGAAATAAACCCAGAAGACTATCAGGAAGTAAGCAGATCTTGTTTTTGTCTGCAGTCTAATCTATGTGTTTATAGGGTTATTTTACATACTTAACATTTCTCTCCGCAGTCTTGTATTTATGACACCTGTGCCGGTCATAGCAGTGAGGAGTGCATGTGTGCTGCTATATCCTCTTATGTCCATGCATGCGCTGCTGAAGGCATCCTGTTGCAAGGATGGAGGGACACCATTTGCCGTAAGTTAAACCCAAACTTTCAAATGTGAAATAAAAAAAATCCTTATTCATTTATAATATTTTAACAAGTGAACCTGTTTCCTTTGAAAAGAGCGCTACACAACTGGCTGCCCTGCTACTTTTGTGTATGAATACGAAATGACAAGCTGTCGTCGCACCTGCCGCTCTCTTAGTCAGTCAGACTTAACATGTGGCATTGAGTTTACCCCAATGGATGGCTGCGGCTGTGCCAAAGGAACTTTCCTGAATGACCGGGATCAGTGTGTGCCAGCCTCACAATGCTCTTGCCAGGTGGGAGACACGCTGGTGCACCAAAAGCAATCCATCACAGTCAATGGAGAAACCTGGTGAGGATTTCAAAATGTCCTTTAATATTCCAGCAAAACAATATTTTCGTATGTTTGTTTTATTTTATTGTTTTAAGTAAGCTGATGGGTCCAATTTGTCATATTTTAAAGTCTAATGTTTATCTAGCGCAGTGTTTATTTTTGATTTTACAAGTGCAGTTTCCCACAAGTAGATCGCTTGAACATCATGGCAGCCCCTTTAAGTCCTCCAGTGCTTTTTGCAAAGATCCAAACAGTTGCTACAAGGCAACATTTGATTTCACTGAAAGTGAACATTAACCAACAGTGTCTTGTAGCAGTGAAGTAGGCTACTGCTTGTAACAGCCCTAGCTAGATTATAGCAAAAACAAATCATGAAGCTAATGTTTTTATTAATTTTTTCCTAATTATTTTGACTATTCACATGCTATGCTTTAAATACAGTTTATTTAAGCCTACATTTGTTCTAATTGCTGATATATTGGATCTAATGTTGTCGGTTTTTAGGTTGTAATTGCAATTCTTGCAATACCTTATATTTCTTCAGTTCTCAAGTTGAATTTGCACTTTTATCTTAATTGTGTTGGTTCAGTGGACATCTGGGTTTGACCGATTGCTCTCCTGGACAACCAAGTTAGCCAAAGTGTGTAACCCTGATTTGGACATAAGAGAACTACACGTCCTAAAGGCCAGACATGTTTGGGACCACTGTCGTAAACCACGGTTTCTTCATTAACAAGAAATTGAGCAGAAACTAGCAAGTTTTAACTTTGTGTGTTCTATATATTTCAGCGAGTGCCTCAGTGGAACACTGAATTGTAAAGGAATACATACAGAAGAATGTAGGTACCATCACTCGTCTTAATATTCCTTCTGTTGCAAAGCACAGTATGAGCTACACCAAGCCTTCAGTGGTGTAATTTCTAACACACTATCATTGCCATCAGCATGCAAAAAGCCGATGGTTTACTTCAACTGCTCCAGCTCAAAGCCACGGGAGAAGGGATCCGAGTGTCAGAAGAGCTGCCAGACTCTGGACACACACACATGTGTAAGATTATGTCGTGGTTCATGACTACTGTTGAATATTCTATGACTACCATCTCTATAATGCATTTTAATATACTTATAATGGGTCAGGGTTTTTTTTTCGCACCGTATATTCAGAATTATATAAGCACTTATAAATAGGTTTAAAAATTATTAGTAATAATAACACATTTTAAAGCATTTTTTTGGGTCTGGGTCAAGTATCATAATACTTTAGCATTTCGGGTCAATCAATGTTTAAGAGAAGAATCTGAGTCTTGGGTTACTCAGGACATTATCCTTAGCCAGTTATAAAGACTGATAGAGAACTGCTCTAATGTATAATACCGCATTTTTGATTTGAAGTTTCTGAAAAAGGAATACTTTCTTACAAACATCAATAACATGCTTTTAGCTTCATCTGTATAAGGTTGCACACAATCATGATATAATTGTTAGCTGCATGCGCTGACTACAAGTAAAGGCTAACAAATACGAAGATAATCAGATAATCAAAGACTCATCAACGCTTTATTATCTGAAACTAAACAAATGTTATCACAATGATCATTATGCAATTAAAAATAAATAAAATACAATGGATTCAAACTATGGGAATTGGAATAAACTATGATAAAAAATAGCAACACAAGTAAATCCAGTGAGTGAGCAGCAATTATGAAGTAATGTGATACAGAATTTTACTTTATAAAATGCTTTTTAATATGCGATGGCTATTGTTATATATCATTATGAATATTTCCGATATTTCCGCTTACTTATTAACTAAGTATAAGGTGCCAAAATCAGATTGTACTGCACTAAGTACGATATCGAATGCTGTATAGACATGAGTTTCTTGGAAAGTGTTACCAAATGTTCTATAAATGTGTCCTAAAGCAGCAGGATGACATGTTAAATACTTTGCTGTTACATTGTATAGGCCAGTACACCTTGTATGTCAGGCTGTGTATGCCCAGCCGGCCTGGTGTTTGACGGTAAAGGAGGCTGCATAAAGGAACAGAACTGTCCCTGCACATATAATGGAAAGTCCTTTCATTCTGGAGAGAATGTCACTGTAAACTGCAATACCTGGTGAGTCCTTTCATTCTTTTCATACTAAAATAGCGCTGTGTCAATTCAAAGTTGTGTTTTTTTTAGTGATGAATGATATATATCTGGCTTAGTGAAAAAAAATCAATTAATGTCTTGAAATATCTTTGCGGATATATAACTTAACATAACTTCATTTACCTATAGTACTTGCAAAAGCAGAAAATGGACATGTACAGATCATGAGTGTGGTGGATTCTGCACCATATATGGAGATAGCAATTACATCACTTTTGATGAGAAGAAATTCTCCTTTAATGGGGAATGTAGCTACATCTTCACTCAGGTATTGCACTGACCTATATTCAGTCTTATCAGTTTGTCAAAAGTCTGTCTTGTAATATAATCATCAATATCTTGCAGGATTACTGTGGAGAAGACATGAATGGCACCTTTAGGGTCCTAACAGAGAGCATCCCATGTGGTGGGAGCGGAACCATTTGCTCCACTGCTATCAAGCTTTACTTAGGGGTACTTAACACTATATTTCATTATTATGGTATACATTTGAAATGCATTTTTTAAATACTGAAAATTACATTGAAGAATTACAAAAGAGTATGTTCTTTTGCTTTTTCAGAACAAAGAAATCGTTCTTTCAGAGGAAAGTGTCAGAGTTATCAAACAAAGCAAAGGGGAAGACATACCATATAAGGTCCACACTATGGGTATTTATCTTGTCATTGAGGCAAAGAATGGACTTGTTCTTATGTGGAATAAGAGGACAACACTCATAATCAAACTCAAGTCAAATTTCAAGGTGGGTGACGAGATATACAGTTGTTCGGCTAAATGATAATAAGGATGCCCCCTCATTAATGCAACAATATAAATTAACTATATCTCGCTTTTCCCAGGGAAAAGTCTGTGGTCTGTGTGGGAATTACGATGGAAATATCAAGAACGATTTTACCACCAGAAACAAAGGAGTTGTGGTTGACGCCCTTGAGTTCGGAAACAGCTGGAAAGTGTCACCTAACTGCCCTAATGCAAACACAGCCAAAGATCCCTGCAGTATGTACTCATACAGGAAGGCATGGGCATCAAAACACTGCGACATTATCAATACTAAAGTATTTGCTAGTTGCCATTCGAAGGTAAGAGAACTGCCAATTAACTAAGATAGATAGATAGATAGATAGATAGATAGAGTGTACTTACATTTACAATTGCTTTGTTCAAAAGGTGGATCCAAAAAACCATTATGAAGCCTGTGTGAAAGACACGTGTTCCTGCAACACAGGAGGAGATTGTGAGTGTTTCTGCTCTGCTGTCGCAGCCTACGCAGCAGCCTGTAACGAGGCCGGAGCGTGTGTGAGATGGAGAACTCCCACAATCTGCCGTAAGTGTTTTATTGGTGTTTCTGTGAGACGATGAACAAAAGATATACCGTACTGCATCACCTTTTGTCAGCATCCCCTTTGTCATTTAAATTGTTGAATTTACAAATAAAGCCTGACTCTCATATCCTTTTAAAGATTTGATTCACTATATAGTAATCTTTTCTTGTACGTTGTTATTATTTATTTTCTATTTTCTTTTGTTTCATTAGCTATATTCTGTGATTTTTACAACCCTGATGGAGAGTGTGAATGGCACTATAAGCCTTGTGGAAAACCATGTATGAAGACATGCAGAAATCCCTCGGGAGAATGCTTCAACCACATTCCAGCATTAGAAGGTAGGTAGAAATGAAAGTAAAAATGTATGTATCTCTAAGTTTGTAAATACAGAGTTGAACATTAGTTTTTTTCATACAGTTTCACCACTCAGATATTCTAACATGGTTTAGGCTAGTTCCAATATGTACCTTTTGTGTGATAGTACAGCATTTTTTACAATAACATTTAACTTTTTAAGGCTGCTATCCAAATTGCCCGCCTGAACGACCTTATTTCGAAGAGGATGACATGAAGTGTGTGTCAAATAAGGAATGTGGCTGTTATGATGACGAAGGGAATCACCATGAAGAAGGGAAGCTTTGGCCTTCAAAAGATAACTGTCACTACTGGTAAGTCACTTTCCATGTTATTAATGATGCATTGGTGCAAAAGTAAATGATATCACTTGAACTGTTTTCACAAAAGATAGCGTAAGGCAGCAATATACACAATATAATTACATTACATTTTTACATTACATTTAATTTAGCTGACGCTTTTATCCAAAGTGACTTACAATAAGTGCAAAAACCATAAAGAAACAAACTCCGAACAACAAGGAAAGTGCAGATATATTTACTTCAAGCGCGATTATAGTATAGTAAGTGCTGGTGAATCAGGGCCTAAGTTACCTAAAGTTTTTTTTTCAGCAATAACTTAATTGCCAAGGTACAGTCGAAATAGAAGCGTAAACAGTTTGCGACGGAAGATATGCAGAGTTTCTGCTGTCCTGATGTCAATGGGGAGCTCATCCCTCAATTTAGGAGTCAGGATAGCAAACAGGCGTGTTTTTGAGGGGTAGCGGGAGCCCACTCGCAGTGATGGAGTAGCGAGTCTATTGGCTGAGTAGATGGTTGAAATAAGGCCTGGATGTATGAAGGAGCTAGCTATAGCGACTATGCAAATTACTTTATTTCAGCAATAGCAATTATTTCCTATTTCTTTCTTTGAAGTAAAATCCTTTTTCTGAATAAGTTGAAGATCCTACTGTCACGTGTTGTCTGTTAATTGTGTTACTAAAGAGTTGCTTAACCTTTGTATTACAAAATAGCCATTATCCTCAAATGCTTCTCTTGTTTTTAGGGAACAATAAAAGTTGCCATAAAATCATGAACAATCTCATGTTGCTTATCACAGCCTCACATGTACCTTTATTTTCATATAAAAGGAGGAGCTCTAATCAGTACTTTGGTCAGGCCCTTTAAACAATGGCATCTGTATTTGTTGCCTAGGAGACCTGGTGTTTTGGATGGAGACACAATATAGGCAATTTTGTTATGGAACTGTGCGTACTATTAAAGGCATGCCTCATGCTGTGGTACACATTTGGAATAACTATTTATTATTAATAGGACAGTTATTTACACAGGATCTGCCTTGTCTAAATCACATCACGGACCTTCACAGTGCGCACCACGGCAATTAAAAAATGCTGATAAAACAGATAAACGTCTCCTTCAAATGGCTGTTAATAGAATCACTGGTGTACAGTTAATAAAGAAGATCAGTATAGGCTAACTTGTTATTCTCTCTTGGCGACATTATCTTATTTTAGCTGGTCAATCAAATGAAGACTAAAAGAGAAAAACAAAGAAAAGCATAAATAAATGGCATTTTTTAGTGTAACTAAAAAAAATAAAGTTTATAGAACACAATTGGTGATGCCTACATTCATGCCATAACGCGCGTTTTCTTCCGGCTGGGTACATTGTACGTTAACAAGATGCCAAACCTGTGGGCAGGGAAGGAAAAAACAAAAAAATCTGTGCACCAATATCAAAATTGTTGCCCATATGTTAATGTATTATTTTTAAACATAATCTTTTTTTAATTTCCTTTTAGTAAATGTTCTTCAACAAAAGTGAAGTGCTACTATGATAATCTAGGTAAGTTTCGCTATGACCATTTCTTTAATTGATCACAGAATAAAGTTTAATGAGAAAGGTAATTGTATGAATCTATTAAATCATAAAATATTTGGATAATCCTTTAATAAATGTTTTTTTTGCAGCTTGCAATTGTTACTATAAAGGGCATATTTACAAGTATGGAGAGACTGTCTATGAGACACATGATGGAAATGGAACCTGTTTCACGGCTGTTTGTGGAGAAAAAGGAAATATTATCAGAACCACAGAGACTTGCGTGAGCTCTACAACTGCACCATCCACAACTGCACCATCCACAACTGCACCATCCACAACTGCACCATCCACAACATTTAGTTTTGAAGCCAGTAAGAGACTTTTGAGAGGAATAGGTTTTGAATAAAATATGTTGAAGCTTTTAAAGTCAACCTTATGATTAAATCCAATTTGTTTTTGGCCATCACAGAAACAACCACACAACATCCTACCACAGCAACATCACAAACGTCTCCTCATCCAAGTGTTACAACTGAGGCTGTGACAGCGATTCAGACATTCTCTATACCAACGGCTTCAACAAGGTCTAAAACAACAGTTCTATCATCATCAAGAGCCATCTCCAAAGCTACCACGGTCACAGTAAAATCCAGCCCAACATCAACATTCACTGAAAATCCTACCACAACCATTATAGTCACTGAAAATCCCAGCACTACTAGCTGTGACTATGATTGTAAGTGGTCAGAGTGGAACAACAATAAATACCCTGACCCTTCCCAAGATAGTGGAGATTATGAACCAATTGAAAAAATTAAGGATCTAGATTTGAGTGTTTGCAGAAAACCTTTAGAAATAGAATGTAGAGCAAAAGATTTTCCAAATTCAACGTTGGACGAAGTACGTCAAAAAGTAACATGCACCCCAACAGATGGACTGATCTGTCATAACAAAGACCAAGGTCCACCTCCTATATGTTTGGACTATGAAATACGAGTGAAGTGTTGTGTTTACAAGTGTAAAACCACAAACCCCACAGAAAATCCCAGCACTACTGCTGTTACATTCTCTGAGAAACCTACCACTACCACCACCATCACAAAACCACCAACCACGATAACAGAAAAACAGACCACGACATCCATAATCACAGAAAACCCCACCACAACCAGTAAAGTTACCGAAAAAACCCACCACAATACACACAGAACAGCCCAGCACTAAGGCTACCACAACCACAGAAAAGCCCACTGCGACCACTACAGTCACTGAAAATCCTACCACAACACCAACTGAAAATCCCAGCACTAAAGCTATCACCGTTACAGGAAAATCCACCACACCAGCCACAGAAAGTCCCAGCACTATTGGTGTTACATTCTCGGAGAAACCTACCACTACCACCACCATCACAAAACCACCAACTACGATAACAGAAAAACAGACCCCGACATCCACAATCACAGAAAACCCCACGACAACCAGTAAAGTTACAGAAAAATCTACCACAATACACACAGAACAGCCCAGCACTATTGGTGCCACAACATTAAACGAAACTGCCACAACAACGGATAATTGCTATTATTGTAAGTGGTCAGATTGGAACAACAATAACTACCCTGACCCTTCCCTAGTTACTGGAGATTATGAACCAATTGAAAAAATTAAGGATCTAGATTTGAGTGTTTGCAGAAAACCTTTAGAAATAGAATGTAGAGCAAAAGATTTTCCAGATATTCCGTTGGACGAAGTACATCAAAAAGTAACATGCAACCCAACAGATGGACTGATCTGTCATAACAAAGACCAAGGTCCACCTCCTATATGTTTGGACTATGAAATACGAGTGAAGTGTTGTGTTTACAAGTGTAAAACCACAAACCCCACAGAAAATCCCAGCACTACTGCTGTTACATTCTCTGAGAAACCTACCACTACCACCACCATCACAAAACCACCAACCACGATAACAGAAAAACAGACCACGACATCCATAATCACAGAAAACCCCACCACAACCAGTAAAGTTACCGAAAAACCCACCACAATACACACAGAACAGCCCAGCACTAAGGCTACCACAACCACAGAAAAGCCCACTGCGACCACTACAGTCACTGAAAATCCTACCACAACACCAACTGAAAATCCCAGCACTAAAGCTATCACCGTTACAGGAAAATCCACCACACCAGCCACAGAAAGTCCCAGCACTATTGGTGTTACATTCTCGGAGAAACCTACCACTACCACCACCATCACAAAACCACCAACTACGATAACAGAAAAACAGACCCCGACATCCACAATCACAGAAAACCCCACGACAACCAGTAAAGTTACAGAAAAATCTACCACAATACACACAGAACAGCCCAGCACTATTGGTGCCACAACATTAAACGAAACTGCCACAACAACGGATAATTGCTATTATTGTAAGTGGTCAGATTGGAACAACAATAACTACCCTGACCCTTCCCTAGTTACTGGAGATTATGAACCAATTGAAAAAATTAAGGATCTAGATTTGAGTGTTTGCAGAAAACCTTTAGAAATAGAATGTAGAGCAAAAGATTTTCCAGATATTCCGTTGGACGAAGTACATCAAAAAGTAACATGCAACCCAACAGATGGACTGATCTGTCATAACAAAGACCAAGGTCCACCTCCTATATGTTTGGACTATGAAATACGAGTGAAGTGTTGTGTTTACAAGTGTAAAACCACAAACCCCACAGAAAATCCCAGCACTACTGCTGTTACATTCTCTGAGAAACCTACCACTACCACAACCATCACAAAACCACCAACCACGATAACAGAAAAACAGACCACGACATCCATAATCACAGAAAACCCCACCACAACCAGTAAAGTTACCGAAAAAACCCACCACAATACACACAGAACAGCCCAGCACTAAGGCTACCACAACCACAGAAAAGCCCACTGCTATCACTACAGTCACTGAAAATCCTACCACAACACCAACCGAAAAGCCCAGCACTAAAGCTATCACCGTTACAGGAAAATCCACCACACCAGCCACAGAAAGTCCCAGCACTATTGGTGTTACATTCTCGGAAAAACCTACCACTACCACCACCATCACAAAACCACCAACTACGATAACAGAAAAACAGACCACGACATCCATAATCACAGAAAACCCCACGACAACCAGTAAAGTTACAGAAAAAACCCACCACAATACACACAGAACAGCCCAGCACTAAAGCTACCACAACCACAGAAAAACCCACTGCTACCACTACAGTCACTGAAAATCCTACCACAACACCAACCGAAAAGCCCAGCACTAAAGCTATCACCGTTACAGGAAAATCCACCACACCAGCCACAGAAAGTCCCAGCACTATTGGTGTTACATTCTCGGAGAAACCTACCACTACCACCACCATCACAAAACCACCAACTACGATAACAGAAAAAACAGACCACGACATCCATAATCACAGAAAACCCCACCACAACCAGTAAAGTTACCGAAAAACCCACCACAATACACACAGAACAGCCCAGCACTAAGGCTACCACAACCACAGAAAAACCCACCGCTACCACTACAGTCACTGAAAATCCTACCACGATACCCACAGAAAAACCCACCGCAACCACCAAAATCACAGAAAAACCAACCACAACCACTCAAGTTACTGAAAAACCAACCACAACCACTACAGTCACTGAAAATCCTACCACAACACCAACAGAAAAGCCCAGCACTAAAGCTATCACCGTCACAGGAAAATCCACCACAACGACTAGAGTCACTGAAAAACCCACCACAACAACCCTGGAAGTTAGAACAAATACAATTACTAAAACAATGCCATTAACAGGACGTGGGATTATGCACACAACTACGACACCCACAGAAAATCCCAGCACTCCTTCTGTTACATTCTCGGAGAAACCTACCACTACCACCACCATCACAAAACCACCAACCACGATAACAGAAAAACAGACCACGACATCCATAATCACAGAAAACCCCACCACAACCAGTAAAGTTACCGAAAAACCCACCACAATACACACAGAACAGCCCAGCACTAAGGCTACCACAACCACAGAAAAGCCCACTGCTACCACTACAGTCACTGAAAATCCTACCACAACACCAACTGAAAATCCCAGCACTAAAGCTATCACCGTTACAGGAAAATCCACCACACCAGCCACAGAAAGTCCCAGCACTATTGGTGTTACATTCTCGGAGAAACCTACCACTACCACCACCATCACAAAACCACCAACTACGATAACAGAAAAACAGACCCCGACATCCACAATCACAGAAAACCCCACGACAACCAGTAAAGTTACAGAAAAATCTACCACAATACACACAGAACAGCCCAGCACTATTGGTGCCACAACATTAAACGAAACTGCCACAACAACGGATAATTGCTATTATTGTAAGTGGTCAGATTGGAACAACAATAACTACCCTGACCCTTCCCTAGTTACTGGAGATTATGAACCAATTGAAAAAATTAAGGATCTAGATTTGAGTGTTTGCAGAAAACCTTTAGAAATAGAATGTAGAGCAAAAGATTTTCCAGATATTCCGTTGGACGAAGTACATCAAAAAGTAACATGCAACCCAACAGATGGACTGATCTGTCATAACAAAGACCAAGGTCCACCTCCTACATGTTTGGACTATGAAATACGAGTGAAGTGTTGTGTTTACAAGTGTAAAACCACAAACCCCACAGAAAATCCCAGCACTACTGCTGTTACATTCTCTGAGAAACCTACCACTACCACAACCATCACAAAACCACCAACCACGATAACAGAAAAACAGACCACGACATCCATAATCACAGAAAACCCCACCACAACCAGTAAAGTTACCGAAAAACCCACCACAATACACACAGAACAGCCCAGCACTAAGGCTACCACAACCACAGAAAAGCCCACTGCTACCACTACAGTCACTGAAAATCCTACCACAACACCAACCGAAAAGCCCAGCACTAAAGCTATCACCGTTACAGGAAAATCCACCACACCAGCCACAGAAAGTCCCAGCACTATTGGTGTTACATTCTCGGAGAAACCTACCACTACCACCACCATCACAAAACCACCAACTACGATAACAGAAAAACAGACCCCGACATCCACAATCACAGAAAACCCCACGACAACCAGTAAAGTTACAGAAAAATCTACCACAATACACACAGAACAGCCCAGCACTATTGGTGCCACAACATTAAACGAAACTGCCACAACAACGGATAATTGCTATTATTGTAAGTGGTCAGATTGGAACAACAATAACTACCCTGACCCTTCCCTAGTTACTGGAGATTATGAACCAATTGAAAAAATTAAGGATCTAGATTTGAGTGTTTGCAGAAAACCTTTAGAAATAGAATGTAGAGCAAAAGATTTTCCAGATATTCCGTTGGACGAAGTACATCAAAAAGTAACATGCAACCCAACAGATGGACTGATCTGTCATAACAAAGACCAAGGTCCACCTCCTACATGTTTGGACTATGAAATACGAGTGAAGTGTTGTGTTTACAAGTGTAAAACCACAAACCCCACAGAAAATCCCAGCACTACTGCTGTTACATTCTCTGAGAAACCTACCACTACCACAACCATCACAAAACCACCAACCACGATAACAGAAAAAACAGACCACGACATCCATAATCACAGAAAACCCCACCACAACCAGTAAAGTTACCGAAAAACCCACCACAATACACACAGAACAGCCCAGCACTAAGGCTACCACAACCACAGAAAAGCCCACTGCTATCACTACAGTCACTGAAAATCCTACCACAACACCAACCGAAAAGCCCAGCACTAAAGCTATCACCGTTACAGGAAAATCCACCACACCAGCCACAGAAAGTCCCAGCACTATTGGTGTTACATTCTCGGAAAAACCTACCACTACCACCACCATCACAAAACCACCAACTACGATAACAGAAAAACAGACCACGACATCCATAATCACAGAAAACCCCACGACAACCAGTAAAGTTACAGAAAAACCCACCACAATACACACAGAACAGCCCAGCACTAAAGCTACCACAACCACAGAAAAACCCACTGCTACCACTACAGTCACTGAAAATCCTACCACAACACCAACCGAAAAGCCCAGCACTAAAGCTATCACCGTTACAGGAAAATCCACCACACCAGCCACAGAAAGTCCCAGCACTATTGGTGTTACATTCTCGGAGAAACCTACCACTACCACCACCATCACAAAACCACCAACTACGATAACAGAAAAACAGACCACGACATCCATAATCACAGAAAACCCCACGACAACCAGTAAAGTTACAGAAAAAACCCACCACAATACACACAGAACAGCCCAGCACTAAAGCTACCACAACCACAGAAAAACCCACTGCTACCACTACAGTCACTGAAAATCCTACCACAACACCAACCGAAAAGCCCAGCACTAAAGCTATCACCGTTACAGGAAAATCCACCACACCAGCCACAGAAAGTCCCAGCACTATTGGTGTTACATTCTCGGAGAAACCTACCACTACCACCACCATCACAAAACCACCAACTACGATAACAGAAAAACAGACCACGACATCCATAATCACAGAAAACCCCACGACAACCAGTAAAGTTACAGAAAAACCCACCACAATACACACAGAACAGCCCAGCACTAAAGCTACCACAACCACAGAAAAACCCACTGCTACCACTACAGTCACTGAAAATCCTACCACAACACCAACCGAAAAGCCCAGCACTAAAGCTATCACCGTTACAGGAAAATCCACCACACCAGCCACAGAAAGTCCCAGCACTATTGGTGTTACATTCTCGGAGAAACCTACCACTACCACCACCATCACAAAACCACCAACTACGATAACAGAAAAACAGACCACGACATCCATAATCACAGAAAACCCCACGACAACCAGTAAAGTTACAGAAAAACCCACCACAATACACACAGAACAGCCCAGCACTAAAGCTACCACAACCACAGAAAAACCCACTGCTACCACTACAGTCACTGAAAATCCTACCACAACACCAACCGAAAAGCCCAGCACTAAAGCTATCACCGTTACAGGAAAATCCACCACACCAGCCACAGAAAGTCCCAGCACTATTGGTGTTACATTCTCGGAGAAACCTACCACTACCACCACCATCACAAAACCACCAACTACGATAACAGAAAAACAGACCCCGACATCCACAATCACAGAAAACCCCACGACAACCAGTAAAGTTACAGAAAAATCTACCACAATACACACAGAACAGCCCAGCACTATTGGTGCCACAACATTAAACGAAACTGCCACAACAACGGATAATTGCTATTATTGTAAGTGGTCAGATTGGAACAACAATAACTACCCTGACCCTTCCCTAGTTACTGGAGATTATGAACCAATTGAAAAAATTAAGGATCTAGATTTGAGTGTTTGCAGAAAACCTTTAGAAATAGAATGTAGAGCAAAAGATTTTCCAGATATTCCGTTGGACGAAGTACATCAAAAAGTAACATGCAACCCAACAGATGGACTGATCTGTCATAACAAAGACCAAGGTCCACCTCCTACATGTTTGGACTATGAAATACGAGTGAAGTGTTGTGTTTACAAGTGTAAAACCACAAACCCCACAGAAAATCCCAGCACTACTGCTGTTACATTCTCTGAGAAACCTACCACTACCACCACCATCACAAAACCACCAACCACGATAACAGAAAAACAGACCACGACATCCATAATCACAGAAAACCCCACCACAACCAGTAAAGTTACCGAAAAACCCACCACAATACACACAGAACAGCCCAGCACTAAGGCTACCACAACCACAGAAAAGCCCACTGCTATCACTACAGTCACTGAAAATCCTACCACAACACCAACCGAAAAGCCCAGCACTAAAGCTATCACCGTTACAGGAAAATCCACCACACCAGCCACAGAAAGTCCCAGCACTATTGGTGTTACATTCTCGGAAAAACCTACCACTACCACCACCATCACAAAACCACCAACTACGATAACAGAAAAACAGACCACGACATCCATAATCACAGAAAACCCCACGACAACCAGTAAAGTTACAGAAAAACCCACCACAATACACACAGAACAGCCCAGCACTAAAGCTACCACAACCACAGAAAAACCCACTGCTACCACTACAGTCACTGAAAATCCTACCACAACACCAACCGAAAAGCCCAGCACTAAAGCTATCACCGTTACAGGAAAATCCACCACACCAGCCACAGAAAGTCCCAGCACTATTGGTGTTACATTCTCGGAGAAACCTACCACTACCACCACCATCACAAAACCACCAACTACGATAACAGAAAAACAGACCACGACATCCATAATCACAGAAAACCCCACCACAACCAGTAAAGTTACCGAAAAACCCACCACAATACACACAGAACAGCCCAGCACTAAGGCTACCACAACCACAGAAAAACCCACCGCTACCACTACAGTCACTGAAAATCCTACCACGATACCCACAGAAAAACCCACCGCAACCACCAAAATCACAGAAAAACCAACCACAACCACTCAAGTTACTGAAAAACCAACCACAACCACTACAGTCACTGAAAATCCTACCACAACACCAACAGAAAAGCCCAGCACTAAAGCTATCACCGTCACAGGAAAATCCACCACGACTAGAGTCACTGAAAAACCCACCACAACAACCCTGGAAGTTAGAACAAATACAATTACTAAAACAATGCCATTAACAGGACGTGGGATTATGCACACAACTACGACACCCACAGAAAATCCCAGCACTCCTTCTGTTACATTCTCGGAGAAAACTACCACTACCACCACCATCACAAAACCACCAACCACGATAACAGAAAAACAGACCACGACATCCATAATCACAGAAAACCCCACCACAACCAGTAAAGTTACCGAAAAACCCACCACAATACACACAGAACAGCCCAGCACTAAGGCTACCACAACCACAGAAAAGCCCACTGCGACCACTACAGTCACTGAAAATCCTACCACAACACCAACTGAAAATCCCAGCACTAAAGCTATCACCGTTACAGGAAAATCCACCACACCAGCCACAGAAAGTCCCAGCACTATTGGTGTTACATTCTCGGAGAAACCTACCACTACCACCACCATCACAAAACCACCAACTACGATAACAGAAAAACAGACCCCCGACATCCACAATCACAGAAAACCCCACGACAACCAGTAAAGTTACAGAAAAATCTACCACAATACACACAGAACAGCCCAGCACTATTGGTGCCACAACATTAAACGAAACTGCCACAACAACGGATAATTGCTATTATTGTAAGTGGTCAGATTGGAACAACAATAACTACCCTGACCCTTCCCTAGTTACTGGAGATTATGAACCAATTGAAAAAATTAAGGATCTAGATTTGAGTGTTTGCAGAAAACCTTTAGAAATAGAATGTAGAGCAAAAGATTTTCCAGATATTCCGTTGGACGAAGTACATCAAAAAGTAACATGCAACCCAACAGATGGACTGATCTGTCATAACAAAGACCAAGGTCCACCTCCTACATGTTTGGACTATGAAATACGAGTGAAGTGTTGTGTTTACAAGTGTAAAACCACAAACCCCACAGAAAATCCCAGCACTACTGCTGTTACATTCTCTGAGAAACCTACCACTACCACAACCATCACAAAACCACCAACCACGATAACAGAAAAACAGACCACGACATCCATAATCACAGAAAACCCCACCACAACCAGTAAAGTTACCGAAAAACCCACCACAATACACACAGAACAGCCCAGCACTAAGGCTACCACAACCACAGAAAAGCCCACTGCTACCACTACAGTCACTGAAAATCCTACCACAACACCAACCGAAAAGCCCAGCACTAAAGCTATCACCGTTACAGGAAAATCCACCACACCAGCCACAGAAAGTCCCAGCACTATTGGTGTTACATTCTCGGAGAAACCTACCACTACCACCACCATCACAAAACCACCAACTACGATAACAGAAAAACAGACCACGACATCCATAATCACAGAAAACCCCACCACAACCAGTAAAGTTACCGAAAAACCCACCACAATACACACAGAACAGCCCAGCACTAAGGCTACCACAACCACAGAAAAACCCACCGCTACCACTACAGTCACTGAAAATCCTACCACGATACCCACAAAAAAAACCACCGCAACCACCAAAATCACAGAAAAACCAACCACAACCACTCAAGTTACCGAAAAACCAACCACAACCACTACAGTCACTGAAAATCCTACCACAACACCAACAGAAAGTCCCAGCACTAAAGCTATCACCGTCACAGGAAAATCCACCACAACGACTAGAGTCACTGAAAAACCCACCACAACCACTAAAGTTACAGAAAAACCCACCACAATACCCACAGATAAGCCAAACACTACTGGAGTCACATTCTCAGAGAAACCGACCCCCACACCCACCGTCCAAAAGACACCCACTACAATAACAGAAAAACCAACAACAACAACCACAGTCACAGAAAAAACAACCAAAACTACCGAGAAGGAATTAACTACTACTGAAACAACCACTAAAGAACCCACCACCCCTGCAAAAACCACAGAAAAGCCTACTTCAACAATAACTAAAACCCCAACACCTTCAACCCTTCAGTCTTCAACACCAGGCAGAACAACAATGTGTTTTTGCAAGTACATGGATCATTTATTTTCTCCTGGTAAGTAATTGGCTATTGCCATTCAAGTATTTCATATTATTATTACCTTTTTTGTTGTGGTTACACTTAACTCCTTACATTTCAACTTGGTATTGCAAGAGGTTGTATCCTCTTTGCTTTGAGATTTAATATCTTAATCCACAGTCTGAGTTGGACTGCATTCTTTTGGATATTGCACAAAACTTGAAATGGTAAAATAGATGTGCGTACAGTTTACACATTCCAAACAACAGGCTTTTTTATATGTGAAAGACGCTTTTTAACTTTGTTCATGTAGAAGTGAATACAATTGGTTGGTCATGGTGCCTGCACACAAAATCACCACAACTCTATTCATCTCTAACTCTATTTATCCAGGAACTATTTATGAAATTGTAGCATCAGTTTGCAGATCATGAAATGGACTTTTAAATTATCGATAAGAAACTTTAATTTGCTTGGTCTAGACTTAACAAAAGTTGCATTATAAAGACATCTGTAACCCTGTCAATGTTTATCTAACTGCCCTGGTTTCAATGTTATATAGGTAGCTTCATGTACAATAAGACTGATGAAGAAGGCTGGTGTTTCACTGCATATTGTGATTTGAAATGCAATGTTGAGAAGCTTGCTAGACCATGTCACTCCACTACTCCACCAACTCCTACCACCACCGTAACAAGCCCTGGGACTACAAAAGAAGTTGACAGAGACTGTTTGGATCTTGATCCACCTAGAAAGGTATTTTAATTTAGTTATATGTACAGATAGATATTTAACATATCTTCTTAAAATAAAAAATGTAAGTATGTACTAATCCCAACATTCTTCCAGGGTCTCTTTTCTGAAAAACAATCACGGACACCTACAAATTAATTTAATACAACAGTAATTGAAGAGTTTCAATCCATTACTGGGGTTGATAATGACATCTGTGGGCTTTCTGTTTAATTTTATTATTTTGATCTTTGTAAACATCTTTCCTTGTTGTATGGATGACACAGTTTAAAGGGGGTATATGTTGTGCTTTGTGCACCGCTTTACTGGCCGTAGTTTACTAAAAGTATTACCTTGTTCGTTACAGGATGGTGACGTTTGGAGTGGCAAATGCACCACATCCACATGTGACGACGGACAACTTATAACAAAACAAGTGCGATGTGAACATGTGACCAAGCCTAAATGTGAAAATGGTCAACCACCAGTGAAGGTTGATGATGAAAGCGGCTGCTGTTTCCACTATGAGTGCAGATGTAAGTTCAAATTAAAGCCTTATAACATGTTCCATCAAGCAGCATCTTAAAACTGCAACACAAACAAATATATATATATGTTGGTTTTTATATAACAAATAATGTTATTTCAATCTCATTTTTGCAGGTATTTGCTCTGGCTGGGGAGATCCTCATTATTATACATTTGATGGCCAATATTACAGCTTCCAGAAAAACTGCACATATGTCCTTGTCAAAGAGATCATTCCTCAACACAATTTAACAATTCTTATCAGCAATGTAAATTGTAATCCCTCTGGATCTGTGACCTGTCCTAAATCATTGATTGTGTATTACAAAGACTATGAAGTTATTCTCACACAGGAGAGAGGCCAAAAGACTGTGAACATGGTAAAGTTTGCCAGAACAAACTGTCTTGACTGCCTAAACATATTTTACTTTTGAACTGTTTTAAATGATCTCCAATGATTATGATAATGACAAATATTTCACTAACAATGTTTCAATTGTTTAGGTGTACATCAATGGCAAGCGGGTATTGCCAACCTACTCTAATGAAGACTTTATCATAACAAGTACATCAATTGAGCTGCTTATGAAAATCCCGGAAATTGAAGCAGTTGTGATGTATAAAGGACTTATATTCCGTGTTGACCTGCCATTTTCCATTTTCCACAACAACACCGAGGGACAGTGTGGTAAGATTGTAAATTGTAAATTGCTGATAAACATAGTAAAAAGCAAACCAAACTGCATGTTACATTCATAGATGAAGATATGATTACAGTGTTAGATATATTGTAAAAATGCCATTGTACTATCTGTCATGTTAATCATTTACTTTCAAAAGGTACCTGTGACAATAACAAGAAAAACGACTGCAGATTACCAAATGGCAAAATTAATCCTGAATGCTCTCAGATGGGAGAGTGGAAAGTACCAGATAAGAAAAAGCCCTATTGTGAGAATCTACCCCCAGGACCAAACCCACCAACATGCAACAAAACTGATAATTCTATTTGTGAAATTCTGAATAGCAAGTAAGAGTTTACACCAAAGAAAATAACAACAGATAAGTACAATTGATTCTTTAATATCACTCTGAATAATCAACTTTCTTGTGATTTCTGCATTAAGGGTGTTTGAGAAATGCCACAAAATAATCTCACCAGAACCATTTCATGAGGGTTGTAATTATGATGCTTGCATAACAAACAGCACAGTAGTTGCTTGTTCCAGTTTGGAGTCGTATGCTGCGATGTGTGCTCAAGAATGTGTATACCCATCATGGAGGGAAGCTACAAATGGACAGTGTGGTAGGGTTTCATTTTACTAACATTGTTATATTTAGACGTTTCATCATTTAAAAATCATAATTTATTTTCTGTGGTTTTAGAATTTAAGTGTCCAGGGAATAAGGTCTACCAGCCTTATGGGCCAACCTTTGAACCTACTTGCAATGCAAGGTAATTGCTCAGTTCTTTTATCAACATCATGAATTGTAATGTAACAATTATTTGGGCTAAACCATATGTTAACATCAGTATGCTTACATGCTCACAATAGCAATGCAAACATGCTGATGCAAAGCAGTAATGTTTTAGCACGCTACCATATGTTCATTTGCATTAAACACAAATTAAAGCTCAGTCTGATGACACTGTAATTTGTTATAAACATGAATATTTGACGAATTAAATTGATTTGATGATGGCACTATAGATGATAGTACAATCGATCCTGATGCACTCAATGGCACTGCATTCTACGTAATAGTTTTGAGACATTTCATTCAAACCACAAACGGTGGCGCTAGAGGAAAATTCAGGGGATCACCAAAGTCATTAGGATTCTTCCTAAGGGGTACATGAATGTCTATACAAAATCTCCTGGCAATTAATCAAATAGTTGTTGAAATGTTTCACTTTTGCCCAACGTAGCAAAGCGACACTGCTATCTCTACAGTTTGCACTGCGTTACACACATACCTTCTTAATTAATTTCTGAAATGATCATGTTTTTTTTTGTTTTTCACCATCAATTTCTTCTTACTTTAGATACAATAAGATGTATACACAAAGGAATATATGCGAAGGACAAAATGACAAACAGAACCATGGTTGTAATGACATGATGGAGGGATGTTTCTGCCCAGAGGGGATGACTCTGTTCAGTTCAACCTCTGACATCTGTGTCTCCGCCTGTAAGAGCTCTGTCTGTTGTCAAGAACATTCAATTTCTTTCAGTTTGAATTAATGTTCAAGTAAACTGATTATCTTTATTGTTTAAGGTTGCACTGGACCAGATGGCCAACCTAAACAGGTGAATGCAACAACAAGTGACAGATTATCATAATTACAGGTCTCCCTTGAAAAAGAGATCAATGATCTCAATGGGATACACCTGGATAAATAAAGGTTTGAAATGAAATTATTAACACAGAGTATTTATCACTTTTACAACACTAACTTCATCTATCAAACAGATTGGTGACAATTGGCTGAGTGGCTGTCTGCAGTGTTCTTGTGATAATGACACTATGAGTGTTCAGTGTAAGCCGCGCACATGTACCATTCAAAATACAACAGCCTGCGAGGAAGGCGAGGAGTTGGTGAACCGCATGGTCGACTGCTGTGCCGAGCAGACCTGTGGTAAATGATTCATAAAAAAACATCTACAGTTGTTTTGTGTATGATCTTTAAATTATTAAGTGGGAACTCCATTTTTCCCACACATATCAGTTATCTCATTATTCATGTCATATGTTTCTCTTCTGTATAAAAGCTTTCTTTAGCCAGAGAAAATAGACTCACAGTCCGGGTTCAGTAGGTGAAAAACATGTTTATCTGTCATTTTCAGTTACTACTCAATCCAACTGTGCAATGATCAGGAACACCACATATCTGCAGAAGAAGGACTGCAAGTCGGTGGTACCAGTGGAAATCACCGCCTGTGCCGGATCCTGTGGAGAGTCCTCGTCAATGTGAGATTTAAAACTAAATGACCTGAGAGTTATTCAGTACAACATACTTACTAAATCACTAAATCAAGTTTTTAAGAATCAAGATTTTTTATTTGTCACATAAATACAAGTATGTAATGTGAAATGTTGTACTCAACTCCCAGGAGTGCACAACAAGTACAATAAAATAAAATATGATAATTCAACAAAATACCACTTAAAAATATGTTATGTAGAATATGACAAATAGTAAACTTATACACAATGGTAAAAATGGTTAAATAATAAAAGTGAGGTTAACAGTGCAGAAAAGGTGACACACAGTATATAGAGGGCAGTATTACAAGTTATTGACCTTCATGTGAATTTTTTGTTTACATTGAACAGCAGGTTCCTGACACTGATTCTGTCTGAAACATCTTCATTTTCAGGTATTCTGCAGAAAGCAACCGCTTGATGCATTCATGCACGTGCTGTCAAGAAATGTCCACCAGCAAGAAGAAGGTGGAGATGACCTGCGCTAATGGCCAAAAAGAAATGCACACCTACATTTCAGTTGAAAAGTGTGGTTGCAATATCACTGAATGTAAAGATATGAAAGGCTAATGTAAACATGTTGCTAGACAACATCGACAACTAAGCTCAGCAAGTTGAAGGGAAAATCTAACTTATATACTTTTATGAACTTTAAACAAATCCTCTCCAAAAACGACCAGAGTCAAGACTCAATGCGTAAAGACACACCTCTTTGTACTTTGCAGTCCCAAGTAAGAGCAAATAATAGTAGAAAGACATGTTCTATTTTCACTCTGACAATGCTCGTCATCACTTCGTTATTATTATCAGGCAGGCAGGGTCCCCAAAGTGCCTCGTGATGACGGCACATATTTGTGTCCTGGTGTCTCTTGTAGCTTTTGAAGAGGTTGTTGCATTATACAAATTGTTCCATTTGGTGTTTCCTTCAGAGGGTGTTTCTCTTTCTTTTACTTTAAATGACCTCAGAGTTAACAGTAGTTGAGTAATTATTTCTAACAGCAACGGCAAAGATCTTATAACCCTTAAATGATCTTATCACCCATTAAACTACTGTATAATGAAAAGAGTGTGAAGAATGTCAAAATTCTTTATCCAATATCTGATGTGTCAAACTTCTGCAAACTGAATGCTGTCAGTGTCATTAAAACTCATCATCATAAGGTCTTGGTTTTTTTGTGGTTCTTTTAGCTATTTTTGGTGTAGATTTGTCTTAAAGTGCTTTATTAGATTAGATTAGATTCAACTTTATTCTCATTGCACAAACTACAAGTACTATTTAGACAACGAAATGCAGTGAGCTTCTAACCATAAATGCAAAAGAAGCAGTAAAGTTAGAGTGATGTCTAGTATAATATAAATATAGACATCGGTCAGATATAGACATACCTAAGTATTTACACTTTGAACAGTACAAGGAGGTAGAAACATTACACACAGCAGTACAGAAATGTAATACACTATAGATCAGGTATGAACATAGACAGTATAATACTCTATAGACAGAATTATTATGAATAACGTGTTTCAATGGTGCATTTTGGTACTGGGAAGAGTCTTTCCATTTCAATAGAAATATGTTGCTTTTAGCTATAGCAGTGAACCATAATATAATGTAAGGTATATTATTGTATACGTCATTGAATACATATAATCTTTATTATTTGATATTTAGACATATACAGTTGGTCACCTATACAAACACACAAATCAAATATGTGTTATGCCTCCACGGCGGCAACTTCAGTTACTTTGCAGATTCAGATTTATTTATAACGTAGTTCAAACATTAAAGTGATGTTAGCTTGAACTAATTTATAAATATAAAAAGCATTACTCTGAAAAGGGATATAGCAGCATAATATGTCTTTCTACTTTTGGCACTTTAACTATATTTTTGATGAATACTTTTGTACTTTTACCTATAGGTGAATATTTACTACCCTTTTAAAAGGTCTGAGTATTCTTTTCACAACTGATATTACTAAATATCACTATTTCTAACACCGGGCGGATGTTAAACTCACTCAAAGATCTGAGTAAGACTGTACGTGTCCATCATTGAAAATAATAGAGTAACCTACTTAATTCATATCTATACTTTTGTGTCTATTCGACAAAGTAAATAATCAAAGGAATTTGTAAACTATAATAAAAGTTGCGATAGAAATAAAAAGTATGTATAAAAATAAAAACAATGTATCAATATACAATTAAGAAATGCAAAGTCAATAGGACCTTTTTTATTTATATTACAACTGAATAGAAATAATGATTACATGCGTATCAATATGTCATGCATATTATATTAACCAAATCATTATGTGACAAATTCAAATAAAATGTGCCATTTAAAAAAGTTAAATATACTCATAATTAAAATTCACATTTGTAATAGTAGAGGATAGAGACAGTTTTACATACCACAAAGGTGATAGTTTGGACGTGGATTTAGTTATTTTTGTACAGTTAATTTTATTTTTAGGGAAATTTCATATTCTTAAAAAGAGGTTCTAGACTATAAAACCTAATTTTGAACATTTTTTACCAAAGATTTAAACAATATAGTACCACTAATAAAAACATTGTGAAAAACGAATTATATTAATAATTGTATGTAACTCTATTTTTCTTTTTTCCACTTATTTATTCTATGTAATTTGGTATTACGTTATATGTCTACCCCTGATATATAATATGTCTTTTGAATACATTTTGGGAAACAAATATATAGGTGTTAAGCGGGCTCCGGCTGGAACGGATCCCTTATAGCGTTATCCAGCCGGACTCTTTTCAGTGTAACACGCCGCCTGGCAGTCATGTCGACGCTGAAGTCAGGACGCTCATTGTTAGAGTAGTCAAATACTGTTAGAAATAACTAAATGCGTAATTTTTATACCAAGTAATACATTAGTTTGGATTATGTGTTGAGGAAAAGCGAGGTATCCATCGCAGTATCGACTTATTTTGAGGTAAAATAAGTTTATTACTGACTTCCCCCTCAGGCTTTTCTCTTCTTGATTATTAAGGTTAGCTAACGTAACACCGCTTAGCTATGATGTGATAAATAATACAATAAAACCCAACCATTGCTTGCTTGTGTTGTCGAGCGGAGGATAAAAGCATTACAGGAAGCATGACATTTATTTGGGACATGTAGTGAAATACGCTAAGAAGTTGATGCTTATACAAAGTGGTTCATATATAACGTTATGATCTCTTTACCGTTAATGTTGCTAATGTTCAATTTGTGACTGCAGGTCCCATATCGACTAGTGCACTGTCTTTATGATGCCCTGTTCATCTTTACATCTGTGAGATTATTTTTGAAATCATGAAGGATATCCTTGTTAATGTATTTATTGTTGTATTTTACACGTCTTATTCAGTTTTAGTTTGTTTTATTATGTTATACTTGCCTTGCCATGCTTATATAAAATCAATGCCTTTTTTCAGTTTGAGCCATGGCATCCCTATCAGAGGAGGTGCTGCTGGTGCTGAAAAAGGTTCGCCAGAGGAAGCAGGATGGCACACTTTATCTGATGGCTGAGCGTATAGCCTGGGGTCCAGAGGGCAAGGATCGCTTCTCAGTCAGCCACTTATATGCAGATATTCGCTGTGAGTAATCGATACCATCCAATTAGAAAAATGTGCCAAACAAATGTGTTGGTGATGTTCTAAAGCTGCACTTTATTTGTTCTCTGCTCAGGTCAGAAAATCAGCCCGGACGGTAAATCCAAAATTCAGCTGCAGCTGGTGCTTCACACCGGCGACAGTACCACATTCCACTTTTCCAATGACAGCACTGCACTCAAAGACAGAGACGCTGCCAAGGAGCTGCTGCAGCAGCTGCTGCCCAAGTTCAAGAAGAAAGCCAACAAGGAACTGGAGGAGAAAAACAGGTGAGACCCAGGTGTTCTCACAAGATTCACTTAAAGGATATATCTGGTAATATCTATGTTTTCTTATTGGGATCAAATTGCATTATAAGATGAAAACTAACCATACAAGTATCCTTTTAAATAGTGTTGTGTGACCAGAGAGCTCACTTCTATCAAAAAACTATTAAAAACACACCAATGAGCCACACTGTTGCACTGGGTGACATTTGTCCACAAAGTAACTATTTTGGAACCTGTTTCTTCTAAAGATTAACATGGTCCATATGAACAAATGAGCTTGGGTCTGAGGGTCCCAAACAGGGTAGGGATGTCCCTCTATGAGTATGGGAGTTCACTGTTGACTTTGGGGACAGCCTGTGTGACCAAATCATCTCCAGTCTACTATTAAGATTTGTATGCAATCTTTCAAATAATATATTACATTCTTTAAATGTTTTTTCCTGTAGGATGCTTCAGGAAGATCCTGTGCTTTTCCAGTTGTATAAAGATCTGGTGGTGAGCCAGGTGATCAGTACAGATGAGTTCTGGGCCAACCGGCTAGGAGACACCAACAACTCGGACTCCTCTTTATCCAACAACAAACAGGAAGTTGGTATATCTGGAGCTTTTTTGGTGAGTACATCAAGTCTGGTCAAAATAAGACCTTGCATTTTGAATCTTACTCAAACATTGTGACCTTCAGTATCATCAACATAATTGTAAAGTATGTTTTGTACATTACAGGCTGACATTAGACCTCAGACTGATGGCTGCAATGGCTTGAGATATAATTTGACTGCTGACATTATTGAATCTATCTTCAGAACATACCCTGCAGGTAAATAATCTCAACTTTAGAGTTAGTTAGCTGCTTTCGTTCATGGCTTCTACCAGCTCATATATGAGAATGATATTTAAGGTATATTTCACCCCCAAAATGATCATTTGTATATCAATTACTCATCCATGTTAAAATCTCACGCCTGCACAGGTGCGTTACTATTTTGTGTGAGGAGTGGACTGTGGGAAAGTGGTTTAGATTGAAGGGTTTTAGCACAAATGCTTGTGTTTTGGAAATAGTGAGCATACGACTGGATAAATGAGACTTGAAATATTCTGCATTAGTTCTGAGAGAAATAGTTTTGACCTGCCCCAGTGTACTTCTATTCATCCAGAATTTCTCAGTTTCCTTTTCTTCTTGTGTCATCATTGAGGCATGCCAGAAAATGGGTTCAGGAGCAGAATGATCATTTCAGCTGTGAAGTTTTCCTGTAAATGTGCAGCTTGTGTGCCTAGGCACTGCAACTGGACTAAATATTTTAATATTTATTTGCGTTGTACTTGCAGTGAAGCAGAAGTATAATGAAAATGTGCCTCACGAGCTGACGGAGAAGGAGTTCTGGACCCGCTTTTTCCAGTCCCATTATTTTCACAGAGACCGCATCAACACAGGAACACAGGACATCTTCTCAGAGTGTGGCAAGCAGGATGAAATAGGTAGGAGTTTTAAAGTGTTTGCAGGTGCAAATCTCACATAAATGCAAGTATTCTCTACAGATGTCAGTACATGTTTTACCTAAACACTTGCAAATTAAACGGCTATGCTACAAATCTGTTCTTATGTCTCACACAGGGTTAAAGTCCATGGTGGTTCAAGGAGTGAAGAATCCTTTAGTGGACCTCCTGTCGTTAGAAGATAAAACATTAGATGAGGTGACGTATTATGATTCGCCAATCACAGCCACATCATACTACTCAGAAATAATTTGCTTTTATAGCTTTCTTTTCCTCCTTCCTCCCTTGACCTGAAGATTTGGTATTTTCTGTGACACAGGGTTACGGAGTTTGCACAACAATGCCCTCAACTTCCAACAGGACGGTGAAGGACAGCAGCAACTCTGCCATTATAAAGCGGTTCAACCATCACAGTGCCATGGTGCTGGCAGCAGGCTCAGGCAAGGGGTGAGGAAACAACTTCTTTATTTTTTTTTTTAAACCTTTCTCATTCTTATTAATTATTTGCTAACGGTTTCATATTTTTAAAGGGAAACAGCAGGTGACCCAGCTAGTGAGACGAGCTGCACAGACGGAAACTCAAGGGACTCTGACTTCTTCCAACCTCCTATAAAGAAGGTGATGCCTCTGCAGCTGTAACAGAGGTTTTTATCTAAATATGAATATTGCTCTGTAACAGCCTGTCACTTTTTCTGTTGGCAAACTTTCTTAGGTTAAATTGCAGGAGGCCATAGAATATGAAGATCTTAAAAAGGAAAAGAAGCCAAAAACAATTGCATTAAACCTCAAAAAATCTGACAGGTAAAGTCTGCCCACCTTTTATTTTTATTTTGTTATTAATATTGTTTGATTACACAATAACAGGTGGGGGGGAGTTTCAAACATGTCACTATCAGTACTAATTATTCCATTTATAAAACTTAAATTTAGAAAAGTATGGGTTTTTTTCTGAACATATTTTGTGTTTTCACTAAAGAATTTACTTAAAAATCCAAGTTTTCCAGTTATTCCTTTTCTTACAACTGGGATGATAAACAACGATTATTTGTGTTAGCTCTAGGAAAGCCTCTAAACTTTATTTATTAACTTAAATAACAGGGGTTATATTATTGTTTGATTTAATGTTGAATTGTTCTAATATAATGTTTCTCACTCCCTCTCTGTATTCTTAAGGTATGCTCACGGTCCTGTGCCACTTCAGTCCCAACACTATTCGACAAGCCAGGATATCATCAACTCTCTCAACTACATCCGGCATGAGATGGTCAATTATAAACCCAACCTCACTCAGGTGTGTTAACACTATTTTCACTTACTCACCAGCTCACAGCCTCTGTTGTGATTCAACACTCATCGACCTTTGGACAAAGATTAATCATCATGTTTGTAGTTTGATCCGTTCAGATCAGAAGTCCAATTACATAACACATTCTCAGTTTAAAAAGAGAGCCTTGTCAATACTGGCAAAAACCTTGCAGACCTCAAGTCAAGGATTGGTGTGTTTCTGTGTATGTTTTACCGATGTACATACTGAAAGAAAACAGCTTCCAAAACACTCAAATAGATACAAATTGTAAACTGCATTAAAGTGGTAGTTCCTAAATGAAATGTACCTAAATATTGTTTATTTCTAGGTACAAGTCTAGTCCTTATATGTAACTTGCACAATATGTAAAATAAACGATTAAATATGTATTTTAATTTATTCTTCGATCAAGTTGGAATATTTCAATTGTGACAAGTAAGGATCTACTGACTATCTCCAGTCATTAAAAATGTAACGAATATTGCAAACTATGATAACGCTTTTTTCCTGAACAGACAGGGATATGTAACTTTGAGTGATGCCTTTAAAGTGTTTAACATTGATACTTTCTGCAGGTGTTGTGCAGCACAACGGCTAGTTCTGCCATTGCTGCACTTTCTCCAGGTGGCGTGCTCATGCAGGCAGCAACACAGCAGGCCATCAATCGTAAGTGTGTTGTACGATAACATTACATTATAACTATTTATTGTGAAAGTTGTAGCTCATGTGTCATGTGTCAGGTAGCTTCAATAAGCCTTCAACGCATCTGCAGAGATAAAGGGAGGGATTTAAATATCTGTGTTTCAGGATGGTTCTTTGATTATCCATAGATTCGTCACTACTGCTGATACCTGAATCCATCCTGACAAACGTTTATTTTAAGCTTGGAGTACTTGGTTTTTTCTTCTCATTTACATCTTTATCATTTATTTTTCAGAGATGGTACCCACTGATGTTCAAGGAGAGCTGAAGCATCTGTATGCAGCTGCTGGAGAGTTGCTGAGACACTTCTGGTCCTGTTTTCCTGTAAACACACTGTTTTTAGAGGAAAAGGTGACTAATAATAACTGAAAAGAATGCTGGGGGAGAAACATTACATCTGTTCGCAAAATCTAAGTGTTATACAGTTTTGTGCATGGAGTAAAAGTGCATAGAAATAAGTATAGACATTGCTTCACGGTTTAAAAAATTTCACTTGCCCATAAAGGCCGCTACACACCCACCTGAGACCAAAGAACGCGTACCGAAGGCGTCCCGACTTTTACGCCAGCTTCGTCGCCTGCGTCGGCTACGCCGCCCGCCTACGAACACACCGCAAATACTTCAGTCGACAAGTGGCAATAACTGTCCTTACCAGCAGGCAGCGGTAGTGTGAACAGCCAATCAGAGTGATTGCTTGGGCCGACTTTCTCTGACCTCCCGCGGCCGATTCAACATGTTGAATCGGCCGCGGGAGGTGTGAAAAGGTGCCGTAAAGAGACGACGGTGCGCGACACACCAACCTGAGTAGGGCGCCGCGAATGCCTCTGACGGCCTCTGACTCCCAAAATCGGGTTGGTGTGTAGCCAGCTTAACAGTGAAGCCATATAATGCTAATGAATGTATTCTACTCCTTAAACTTATTCATGTTTTAGTGTTTTACTACACTGCACACAGTAAATGTTAGCAACGCTTTCTGACAATATCCTTCATGTCATGTGTATATATATACTTATTATAATGGTATTTATAGACATTTGTTTTTACTTGGACACTTTATATCACACTCCTACATGAAGGTTTAGATTTTTCGGCTCTGTTCATTTGTCTGTCCGCGAGCAAACAGAAAATGAGTTTTTTTCCTTCAGATTTGTTCTCATCATGTCTCACTCTTTATATAGGTGACGAAAATGAAGTCAAACCTGGAGAGATTTCAGGTGTCCAAGCTTTGTCCTTTTCAGGAGAAGGTTCAGCGTCAGTACTTAAGTGCAAATGTAAGTCTCTAAACTATTAATGATAACACAATGTCTTATATACCGGGTGACACTTGTATTAAATGGCTTTGACGTCCCCACAGCTCACAGGACATTTGGAGCAGATGTTGCAGACAGCCTATAGCAAGTTCCACGTCTGGCAAACCCGTCGCATGCTGAGGAAAACCTGAGGTCTGATAATTTGTCAAAGAGAGGACATAAAAGACATTATAGAATATCGACAAATGACGAGGAAGGTTCTCGCGACTGCTGCAAAGACCGCAGATCACAGCCTGATTGGACGAGATCCACAGGGGCTACATGAGGATATACATGGATGCTGCTACATCCCAGACTATTCTTCAAAGACTAACTGCCACTCAGTCACAAATGACTGTAATTAGTTTCTTTTTTTTGTTCTCTCAATGGTTGAGAGATTGGTGCCGGTATCGGTTAAATGGGACTTTAGTAGTGGTGTAATGTGACCAAATTTCAAATGGAGAATCATAAAGGAACTCAGGACGACAGGCTGATGTGTGAAATGCAAGCAGACGACTGCCAAAATGAGTTTCATCTGTGCACAGGGCAGAGAAAGAGACAAACAAGGAGCAAATCTGAGCACTGGTTTAACTTGTGGAACAAAGTGAGTATAGCAATAATGTGATGACATTTCACACTGAGTGCATTAGTGTGTGTGCTTGTTTGTGGCTCTAATCACACTGTCACTGGTTTGTAATGTCTGCACCTTCTGTCTGCACTGAAGACGAAAATGTCACTGAAATAAAGTGAGAATGTGAAATGTCTTTTGAAACTACAGTATTTCATTTATCAGAGTCTGCCTCAGTTATTTTCTAAACTACATAACAGGTAGAGGTTTATTTTTCTAAATGTGTAGCTTTAGCTGCTTTTAGAGAGTATGGAGATTGTTTCATTGTGACCAGTGGTGGAAAGTAACTCAGTACATTTACTTAAGTCATATTTTTTTTTACATATTTGTACTTGAGTATTTCTATTCAATGTTTTACTCTAGATTTATTTTAACACTCACGGTTAGTAGTTACTTTGTACATCAAAAACACAAATATGCTGATATGGTATAAAGCAACGGGACATTGTGCACAAGAAGATCTTTTTGAGATTAATGGATTTGTATGCATGGTCCTTGTTCAATAAAGAAATATATATATATGAGTAAAAAGAATAATATGAGCTAAAAACAGAATGTAAAATTAAGTCAGAATCAGAAACGGGTCTATTGCCAAGTAGGTTTACACAGGAATTTGCCTTGGTGTACGTGGTGCATACTTTAACATAGAACTATGTTTATGTAAAGAAAGATAAATTGTAAGAAAAGTACTAACAAAATAAAACGATTATAACTATATTTACATGAACTATAGATATACCCGTACAAATACCGAAAGGGATAAAATACTGCTTATTTTAGTAAAAAAATATATTACTTTCACTTTCAATGGAGTATTTTAAGATGTGTCCCAACACTGGTTGTGATAAAGCCTCCAGCAGGAAGTCACCAGCTGAGCCTGGACAGGTCGCCTGGCTGCGGACACACAGGCGTGAGACTCACCGCTGTCTTTCCACAGAAAAAAGTGAAGAAACCCAGCGATGTGACGGGGTTTTGGTGTGGATCTGTAGACGGAAACACTGCTGTTTCTTCTGACATTTGGTGAGTTTTTAATGACAAAACCATACGTGGTCCCTACATCACTATCTTAGCCAGCTAGCATGTTTGCTGACTTGTTATTGTAAATACAGAGGCGAGTTTGCGCACTGAACTAACAGTCTTCAGATGTATCTTACTTTGAAGAAACCTTTATTTATACCTAACAAAGCCATGTCGTTCTTATAATATTGTGTTATGTCTTTCTGGGTCCATTAGTTTGATGGTAACGTTAGCATCAGTGTCAGCAGACATGTCTCGTGATGCATGGCAGACAGACGCCCCTTTTTAGTTTCAGAAAGCAACTGAATCAATTGTAGACATTTTATTAACAACTAACCATAAGGAGCCCGACAGTGATTTACTTAGTTAGTTTCACTCACTAAAACTAAGGTATACTGGATTAAAGTAAGGGTTAGTAGAAAGTAGATGTACTTAAGTAGTACACTTTTGAGGGACTTGGACTTTACTTGAGTATTTCAATGTTTTGCTACTTTCTACCTCTACCCCACTACAATTCAGAGGTAAATTGTGTACTTTTACTCCACTACATTCATTTAATAAAATGTAATTACTTTGCTGATTTGTATTTAATATGTGAAATATAATCAACCCTTAAATAAGACTTTAGTTACATCTGGAGCAAAATTCACAAGTTACCCTGCAGTATACAAAGTCATTAAAACTAGCTGCACCTTTACCAGCTTTGATAACACTTTAATGCATCAATATTTATAATCAAAACATATAATATATATTATTATATTATGTTATTATGAAATGGGCTGGTCTGCACTACGAGTACTTTTACTTTTGGAACTTTAAGTATATTTTGATACCAATACTTTTGTACTTTAACGATTTGATTGCAGGACTTTGACTTGTAAAATAGTATTTCTACACTCTGGTAGTTCTAAGTAAGTAAACATTTGTTTACCGTTATAGTTAACACATTAAAGGTACTTTCCTTGGGTTTTTACTATAGAATTTGATTTGTAGGCTACTTCTAATCGGTGTTGGATTAGGTACTCAGATCCCTAATTCGAGCAAAAGAAGCAATACAGTTAACAACATCTCTGTCTCTGATTAAGACTCCGTTTACATGGAGACGGTTTGTGTTGTATCTGCTACTTTTCTCTTTCGTATAGTCATTTTGAGCATCCAAGCATAGTCATTTGCAAGGACTGAGCTGGTATGAGTGTACATTTTCCTTAGGTCTGATCAGCACATCTGTAACCCTACATACCTTCCTGTAGCAGACATTAGAGTGTTAACAAATACAGAGACAGAGTTCAGAGGTGACTGTTTCTTCTCACCTTCTTTTGAAATATTTGTCAACATAAATGCTCTGGAGCAATTATGTTCTGTCCTTTTGTTTTCGAAGTGTTTTTTTAAATGTAGAAAACACACTGATGGTTTTTACAGTTATTCAAATGATCTGCAGTTTTTGTTCTGCTTCCTCATATGTTGGATTTAAAAGTCAATCAAAGCCAAACTACATTGTGTTGGATTTTGAGCTGAATGGCGTCCTGGTAAAAAAACAATTCTTTAAAAATTAACTGAGACTTCCAGGACAGCAGATATTTGAACAACAGTTTTGCTGCACTAAAGATGATAACATGTTTTTACCAGAATGGAGACGGTGTAAAGTGAAGTCATGACTGGTCAATTTGAGAAAGTAGGTGCACCGCTGAAAGTCATATGATGTGAAGCAGCTCACATTTGTCATACTTTTCTGTCTTATTGTCTCCCAGTTGTAAAGGATCAGCAGTGAAGATGCCTCTGATACCAGTTGTGCCAGAGAACCACAGTCATGTCCTGGCAGAGTTTGACTGCCTCGATCCGCTTCTGTCTGCTCTCCGTTTAGACTCTGGCAGGCTAAAGGTAGGTTTTACCATCACATGTCTGAGATTTATGGTAAAATCACACATAATCAATATTAACGGCTCTTATACCACAACCTTGAGTATCTGCCAATACTGAATGGCATCTGAAACAGTCTCTTTCCTTCTCCTAAACAAGTATGGACTTCTTAATATATTTGTAGGGATACACTTTTTTGGGTTTACCTTTTTATAATTGATTTATAGTGGTTTATTATTCATTATCATACATTAAAAACCCAACATCCCTTAACAGACCTTGAGGGCAGAAGAATATTTAGAGGATTGAAAACGTCAGATTGGCTTTTGAGAAGTGACTACACTAATGATGCAAATCACAACCACTTATCACCAATAAATTGCACATTCATCAATGTAGAAAATTAAACTCTATGTACTCTTTGTTTCAGTGTACCTGTTTGGCAGTCTCAAGGAAGTGGCTCGCATTAGGAACATCAGCAGGAGGGTTGCACCTGATCCAGAAGGAGGGCTGGAAACAAAGGCTCATCCTCACCCACAAGGTAATATGTGACCCAGAGTTCACTCTTTTTCTGTCACAGCTACACAAAAAGAAAATACAATGTTAGTTTATTTGTATTTCTTTTAACTCCTAACCCTTGGTGCATTCTTCTTCAGGAGGGATCTATTACTCAGGTGGTGTGTTGCCCTCATGATGAAGACTTTATCGCGGTTGCAACAAGGTTAGAGTCTATCCATGAAATAAAGATATCTCTCACATACAGTACTGTATCTCTGTGTCTGGTGTCGCCTGTATTGTTCTCAGTGTGTGTCTCTGCTGCAGTCAGGGTCTGGTGGTGGTGTGGGAGCTGCAGCTGGAGCGGAGGGGTCGTCCGGAGAGAGTGAGTGTCTCCTGGGAGCACAGAGGCCAGACCATCACGTCACTCTGCTGGGACACAAGCACACTCAGAGTGTTCGTCGGGGACACGGGAGGCAAGGTGTCCTTTCTGCGTGCGGGATCCTCCAAGCTGGGCAAGGTATTAGTGGCTGCTGATTCACAACAACTGTTTGTGTGTGAATGGCTTAAGGCTGTACCGAATAGGTCAAATCATCATTCTTAATGTTGACATGCAAACTCTCAGCCACAACGCAGACTCTATGCATTACATGAATGCACACAATGTACAACAATATTTTGTATTACTGCCGATTTTTATTCCATATTTTATTCCTTCTTATTCCATTCCATTGCAATGTAAATACTGTTATATTTTACTATATTTTTTATTATTTTTAATATTTTTCTACCTATGTTTTTAATTCTTGTCTTACTTTTATGTATGCACCACGACACCGAGTCAAATTCCTCGTACGTGTCAACCTAACTGGTAATAAACCTGTTTCTGATTATGATTCTAAATCAACATTTCAAAACATTGAACATTTCTTCTGATAAAGTAAGTATTTCTGCACAGTTTCAGTAAACGATAAGGTTCTTATTAGTATTATACTATTCTAGTGGTTGTTCTGTAATATTGTGTTGTAAGGTCAAAATGAATTTGATTAAAACTGTGTTTTAACATGTTCTGATTTATACAGATACCATAAATGTTTGATATTGTTTTCTTTGTGTCTAGGGGTCAACATTCGTTATCTTCCCTGTTCAGACCGTCACCACTGTGGACTCCAGAGTGGTTCAGCTCGGCTACCAAGATGGCCGCCTGCTGGTGTCTTCCTTGAGCCGCTGCTACCTCTGTGACACAGATAGGTGAGGACCACCACAGCTGCGTCTCTTTAGTGGAAAAGACCCTCAACCAAGGTTTTCCTTTTAATGCAAAAATAGCAAAAAATGCTCTTTCAGGCTCTCAAATATGGAGACGTCTTGCTTTTTTCAGTATTATATCATATTAAACTAAATATATCTGGATTTTGGGGAAAACAATACATATTAAAATATAAGTAAGATATTGGGATAGACATTAGTACTATTTTCTAAAATGTATTCGTAATGTATTTTATATCAAATATTAGTGGCAGGCTTAAGATTGGGCTATGGCAAAATGTTGCCAATGTTCATCATTTTGTTAACTCCTGAAAGGAATTCCTGTGTTCTTTTTCTATTATCTCTTGCTTTCAGGGAGAAGTTTTGGCGTGTTGGATATAAGGAGCGTGATGGAGAGTATGGAGCGTGTTTCTACCCTCAGAACAGAGGCTTATTGGTTGGACAGCCCCCCCTGCTGTACTCCGCCCGGCCGGGGTCTCGAATATGGGAGGCCAGCTTCAATGGAGAGGTTCTGAGCACCCATCAGTTCAAACAGCCCCTGGCCTGTCCTCCTCTCCCTCTCATCACCTACAGGTAATGATTGTTCCTGCTTTAAAATGTTCTTCTTTGATTGGCCGAACAACTAACTGTCTTACATTCCTGCAGAGATGAGCCACATTACAACCCAGCACAGAAGAGCCCGCAGTCAATCGCCTTCACTAAACTGCTTTACTTTGGGTAATATTATTTATATATTTCCTATCTTAGTTTTTAGGCTTGTCGATCACTTGTTTTATCATATGCACAGTATTGATTAAGCAAGTGCGTTGATTACACTAGACGACATCAAAAAGAAAACCCTCCCATTATTGTTTATTCACTCACTTTTATTTATAGAGACCAGAACTTGCTGACCTGGACTGACTCTGCAATTTATATCTTCACACCTCAGAACGGACAAGTGCTTCTGTGGACTGAAGTCAAAGGTGTGCTTATCCTGCTTCCTCCTCAAATACCACCAACAATCCTTTGGAGTGGTGAAGCAAATGTTTAATTCATAAACTGTTGTGTTGTGTGGAAGTAGGACCAAAAGTCATTATTAGATCTGTATTTGATCGGTTTTATTTGTTAGTGTGATCAACATTATGAGATATTTTTAACGTTGGTTGATTGTTATGCGTGTACTTGCCCAGTGACTGCAGATGGAAATGAGCTTTTAGCTTTAATCTGGCATATAGCATCTCTTCTCTTTTTTAGATTAATGTATTTGTATGCATGGTCCTTGTTCAATAATGGTGTATATAAAAAAAAAAAGTAAAGGTTGAAAATGTTTAACAATTTAAACATTGATTATACTGTGGTGGTGGTGAAGTCGATAGGGACTTGGCTTGGCAACTGGAAGGTCACCAGTTCGAGTCCCGGCAAGACCAAGTGCTACTGAGGTGTCCCTGAGCAAGGCACCGTTCGCTACACTGCTCCCTAGGCGCCGGACATAATGGCAGCACACTGCTCCTAACACTAGGATGTGTCAAATGCAGAGGAACAATTTTGTTACATAGTACCTGTACTATGAAATGACAAAAAGAGCAATTTATTTTTATTTTATTATTATACTGACCTTTTGTTCCTGTCTTTACTTTAGAGTGAATTGATCCATCCTGTTTTTTTTATTTTGCAGACTTGGTTAATATTGCAGTCTACCGCAACGAGCTCTTCTGTCTCCATGGCAGCGGGCGTCTGTCCCACCTCTCGCTGCTGTCTGCTGAGCGCTGTGTGGAGCGTCTGCTGCGCAGGGAGTCCTGGCCTCTGGCGGCTGGGGTCTGCTGTATGTTCCAGCACACAGTCACCAGCAGCAGGGTGAGACCCCCGCTCTCTGTGTACAGAGAAACCTAGATTCATGGTCTTATCTGGCTAATGTTCTTATTACTTCCTGTGTTTACAAGGATAAAGCAGAATATACCTGTAAAACTGTCTCACCTAACATGGCCTGACTGAAAGAAGAATCAACAATTACCATGTGCTAGATGACTCCTGCTAGCATTATTACACTTTTAATACATCTTTAAGAAGGGATAACCCATTAAAAATCGTAATGTATTTAAATAATGTTGTTGCTAATCATTTTCCAGACTGAGAATAAAATACCCCTAGCACCCACTCGGTATACATAGAATAATTATATTATTGTGTGGCATAGTTTAATAAAACATTTTAATTTAAAAGGTTAAACATCATGCAAAATAAACACATTTGTGGTACTCATGATCATTCAGGACTGATGTTTGTTTTGGACATATCATTGTTGTCTTCTGAGCACATCAGAACACTTTTGTGTGAGGCACCATCATTTCAGTTGAAAGTAAATCAAGCATTTTAGAAATGTTGTATCTTACCTAGATTTCTTATAGTCTGAGTAAGATCTCCCTACGTGATGATAAAGCATTAAGAAGCCTTGCTCATCATGATTCCTGTTTTAATTCAGGCCAGGAAATCAATTCCCATCGACCGCCTGGAGCACCTCAGGTCTCAGCTCAGCTCCAGCACACACCCCGAGCTGTGTGTCCAGCTGGAGGAAGTCATCTCCAAACTGGAGCCTCTGGACTCGGCCTCCAGCAGCCGCAGGAGCAGCATCTCCTCACACGTGAGTTACATTTACTCCCTGCAAATGATTAACTGCGATCTTGAAGCATCCAACTTTCTAAACAACACACTTTTGGTTAGAACCAGCTTTCAGTCTTTGCATCCAGAATAATTCCACATCAAACTAACATCATGCTTTGTATACTTTCCTTCAATACATGTATTTTCTATTAGCTCATTATGACTCAAGCATGCAGCCTCTGCTTATTTGTCTGTAATCAATGGGTTTGCTGATATCGTCATTATCCAGGAGAGCTTCAACGTCCTGGACTGTGGGATCTATCGTGTGATCAGCCGCAGAGGAAGCCAGTCGGACGAGGAGACGAGCTCCCTCATCAACCAGTCAGCGTCCGAGGAGGAGCGCCTCAAAGAGTTCAGTTTTGTGCAGGAGGAGGATCAGGTGGATCATGGTAAGAGAACGCCAGCTGCCTATTAAACATACAGTGAGCTCGCTATAGAAATGCCTTATTTCAATTCAGAGTGGTTTTTCGATACTGCCACCTTAAGAGCTGACACATTTTATGAATGAACAGGTCGTTTTTAAATGTTATTATAACTGATTATAAATACTAGTTATAATAATTGTATTATTATAATTACCAGTATGAGTTTTTTGGACATGCTAACAAACTTTTGTAACAATGAAAATCATGGAAACCAGTTATTGACTATCTTCTTCCTAAAAACACTTTCTTGTTTACCTCTACTTTTTCTTTAATCTGCACAGGAACAAACTTCTTTTCTGCCTCTTCTTACTTTAATTAGAAAAAGAGTGAAGTTACTTTCAGATTGATATCATCTACTACTCTATTAAAATACCTCAATATAAAGCCAAATTAGACATTTGTAATTTTGAGCATCTGTCGCTGCTAAAACATGTATTATTAAAAACATTTGAAATGAATTTTACTCTTTGACTTTATCTCTATTGCCATAATAATGAATCTATAATAATTCAAAAACGGTCTTGTATGTTTGCCACTAAGATGAAAATGCTTTTGAAACACACAATAATTGAATCAAAGTGTTGCTGTTTCTGAATCTGCTGAGAGCTAAACGATCACTCTGCCGGCTGATGTGCTTTGCCAGTAAAACCTTTACTTTGGCACGCTGTTAACGTTTCCTGTCTGTTCCATTGCATCACACATAAATCACCATTTTGTTTTTTTTACATTGTGCAGCATTTAATTTACGTTTGCTCTTGAGTGGTGTCTGGCTCCTCTGCTCCATCTGCTTGCGTTATGTCCTCTGCCTTCCATCGTTCCCCTGCCGTATCCATCCATCTGTGTTTGTCCTCTGGCTCTTGCCCACAATCTTCCTTCAGATCCTCAGAGCGCTGAGCGAGTGGAGGCCGAGCGATCCGATTCAGGCCTGCAGTTCCACCTCCCCCTCTCATTTCGCCCCAAACCCCCCCGCATCGCACTGCAGGCCGTCAAAGACAGGTAACATGCAGAGAAATAAAGGACAGACATACTCACAGACTACCTTTCAGATCATATGCATTGTTACTTTTTATTACTTTCCCATTATCATATGTACTTTAACGTCATGCGCAAAAAGGTCCAGAGTGCTTGGAAGTTCAAACGCGTGTAATAATTCATCAGATTGCTTTTTAATGGTGACATAAAAACATAGACAAGTGTGCATTTTAAGATTAAGGTGGTGTTAGAAAAATATCACTCGACACCAGGTTGAGAATCAATGATCAGGTTCTAGTTTATTCTTGCAAGAAGGAGCAGAGTTAAATCACATACAAAGGATATGGGTTAACTCACACACATGAGGTATGTTACTCAAAGGAACAGCAAAAAACGTCAGGCTTATATAGTCCCAAAACACGGAGAGTAAAGCCGTAAAAGGACGGTGGCTGCGGGTGTCGGAATGTCAGCCGTAGGTGAAGGGAAGATGGGACAACTGGATGGGTCATCTGTGACATCTTCTGGACTTCCTTCACGCCTCATAGAAATTAGATATGTAGGAGACAACAAGTATGTGCCTGTCTCCTCATAAAGATCAACAACCTGAAATGCCCTGCCTCCTCCTATCATAAAGAGGCAGCTGCAAGGTCGTACACAGTTCAGAGCCACACATGATATCGGTGCATTAAAACAAACCCAAAGAGTGGAGAAAACAGTATTTCTCCAACAGGTGGTTACAGTCAACACATTATTATTTTATGTTGCTTATTTAACTAAATGTATCTCCTTTTGAGTGTTATTCTTTTAGGTATTAATGTTTCTTATGCACTTTTTCATTTGTATTACTCAATAGTTTAATGAGGTTTTCTAAAATGTTCTTATGTCACGTGTCACAGCAGCAATACAGACATGGAGCTGCAAGACATTAGATATCTTAGATTTGTATTCAACACTAAATGATAAAATATGTCCTTTTCGTAATGAGGGTTGAAACTCCGACAATCACTATAATTGTAAGTGCAGCTGTGCTTGTAGGCGTCTTACTTCCCCTTTCCAGTGAACACGCACATCTAGTTATTTTTAAATGAACATTGTTTATCTGTGGAGAAGCGTGTGGCAGGTTTCATTTCCAAGCATCACACCCATTGTTCATTAGACATGTGAAAACGTTTGTAGTTCTGTTTTCCTTTCTGAGTGTTAACTCATCTAATGTAATATCATGAAGGGTTGTTTTTAATATTCAGTCGTTGTTGTTTTCAGTGTTTCTAGTTTTGTTAAGAAGACAACGGAGAAGATCAACACCCTCCAGATGAACACCCTCCAGATGAACTCTGAGCTCTGGCAGCGGACTGAATTCAGAGAGGGCGGACAGGCAGAAATCTCAGCCACGACTTCGTTCTCAGAGGAAATGGACAATGAGTGAGTAAAGACCTGAACACGTGGACTATAACCACTTTACTGAGACTATGAGAAATAAGTCCTCTACTATATTTGTCTTTAGGACAAGCTGTGGAGTATTAACTTGTTTTGAATACACTGTATCAAGTAAAGTGAATTATATTTGTCATCACAGAGTTTATGATGAAATGCCGACCATAGAGTCCGACATGCAGGATCTTCGGTCCGCGACAGAGCGAGCTATGTAAGTGCAGCCCAGCTTTTTGATAGAATCCAGATTGCATTATTTCACAGCCTCTTTTTAACTTACATTAAAAAATAAGCTCCCAGATTCAAGATCCTTTGGTGCTGCTGGACCCAGACTGCCTGGGGGAAACTCTGCTGGAGTGGCTGGTGGTGCTGGAGCGAATCCTCGGACCTGCTGATCACGGGTCAGCCGCTGCAGGTGATTCAATAACAGATGGTCTAGGAGAAGAGCGTTGGGATTATCTAAACGCCTGCTCAGAGCAACAAGAGGAGTCTTCGTTGTCGTCAGGTGAACCAAGAGAGAGCAAGACAGAGGAGAAGACAGAGGAGAAGAAGACAGAGGAGAAGACGGAGGAGAAGATGGAGGAGAAGACGGAGGAGAAGACGGAGGAGAAGACAGAGGAGGAGAAGACAGAGGAGAAGAAGACAGAGGAGAAGAAGACAGAGGAGAAGACAGAGGAGAAGACAGAGGAGAAGACAGAGGAGAAGACCGAGGAGAAGACCGAGGAGTCTCCTGAGCTCGGAGAAAAAGAGGACCGGTGTGACTCCTCTGAGAAAGAGCATGAAGTTTCAAATGAGACTCGTCCAGATCCGGTCCGAGTGGCGTCTCCTAAACCTGTACCAACGGATCTCCTGGCCGATCTCAACCAGCTGGCCACGCTCTACACGGAGCTGAGCTGCTTCAGGAAGGAGGAGAATGAACGAGCTTTGGGATGCATAGCTTTCCTGCGCCGCTACTTCTTTCTGCTGGACCAGGAGCGTGTGAGGAGGATGTGTCTGCTGTGTCATCAGGAGCAGCCCGAGGCGCAGCGCTCCTTCACCGAGGCCATGCTAGGTCAGAAGCTTCTCCTTAAATCTGTGGTTTGAACTCATTTTTCTGTATTTCGTTTTAAGAATTCAAATGTCACGAATAAAGAAAGAAAACGTAGATAATACAAAGAGAACACACTTCAACAAGCAACAACATAGTGGGCTTCTGCTATTGAAAATCATTTGTATTTTAGTGACCAAATCCTGATTTGATATGCAAGTGTCTCGTAGCTTTGCACCACCCACCAGCCCAACAAAAACAATGTTTATCCTTTTTGAGCGGCTCGTAAAATTTGAACAATTTCTCTAGTCGGGGGATAAAAAGTTGATTTAGCAAAAAGTACAAGTAATATGTTATTTAAAAAAAAATGATCATCATTATTCAAAGATAGTCCTTGAATGTCAGAAATGCTTTTCAAGTTTCAGAGTCAAATCAGTTGAGCAATAATAAACATTCATTCATCATTCAGCCATTTTTAAAACAGAGAATCCAGTCTATGATAGTGAATGTGTTTTCATGTCCAACATTATTACTTCTTATGAAAACTCTTTGCTTTGGAATAGCCAGGTATTGCTTTTCACAGACATGGCTGGGTCTCTCAATTTTTACATTCTACACCCGGTGAATATTCTAATAGTGATATTTCTCTGTTTGATTCTGAGGTAGTGAGAGAATACTGTATTCACTTGTATCTGCAATCTAAAATGTATTTGAGAAACGTTTGTCTTTCTCTGTAGATGTCACTCAGCACAGTAAGGTGGTGGAGGTGATTCAGAGAGGAGATCTGCTGAGGTCTCTGCGCAGTCTGAGAGAGCTGCAGCCCTGCAGTGCCCCCCCTCTCCTCGCTCACTTACACAGGTCAGTACACACATTTATGTTTGATCAACTCGTACTTGTATCACAGTGATCGACGTCTTGTTAAGCAAGTCATCTCTGTTGTCATCCAGGCTGTATGAGAAGCACGGGGAGGCGGCTGTGCGCTCGTTTACGCAGTTTTACCCCACGGTAACTCCTGCTGATATCATGACCATGGCTCAGCAAAGCCACTTCCTGGCATACCTGGATAATCTGGTCCAATCTCGAACTGAAGAGGACAGGTACACATTTAGTTTCATCTATTTGTTAAAGACTTTGAACTCCCCTTGTTGCTGAATTTGACATGTATTTCTTCCTTAGGTTGTCATTTTTGCAGTCCCTTCTTGAACCAGAATCACTCAGACAGGATTGGCTGGAGCTGGCACTTACCCACGATGCACCTCAACGCTGTGACACGCTGACCCCCGATGGAGAGCCCAGGTTGGTCCTGTTTGTGTGTGGAAAATGTCAAAATAGATTTAGGATTATTCATTTTTAACATTCACTTAAAGAGCAGGTTTCCAGTGTGAGATGGATCTAGTTGCTATCATGGGTACATTTCACTTCTGGATTGTATTTATGCCACACGAAGGTACACAAATAAAGTGAAAGTGAAATGTATTAATAAATATGTGACTCCTGCTGCAGGTGGCACTCTCACTGTTTCAGCTGGGGTTACGGACGCCTCCTGTCTCTCCTGATCCGTCTTCCTGCAGATCTGTCCTCCAAGCAGAAGATGGCGGAGACGTGCCGCAGTCATGGGTACTTCTAACTTTCCAAAGTCCTTTTTTGCTGGTTTTTGTTTTGAAGTTTACTTTTTGACATCATGCATAATGTGTGTGTGCAGATACTGGACGGGCTACATCTCGCTCTGCTGTGAGCTGCAGCGCCGCACCGAGGCGTTCTCCGCCATCTGTCGGCTGGATGACATCAGTCTGCTGCAGGAAGCTGGTGGTAAAACCTTCACACAGAATCACAATTATTGTTTCCAATTGGCTGAAAGGAGAGTTCATAACCGCACCATACACCTGGTCAACAGTCGTTCATGTAGTCTCAGTCCTGTCAAATGTCCTTGTTAGTTTTTATTATATTTAGTCATCCATCTTTTTGAGTTGACTAAATGTCTGGACATTTTAGTCAGACAAAACTGTAAACGTTATCGTATAGTTTATTCAATGAAAACGATTCAATACTATTACTTATCATACTACAGTATAATAAACATTCTAGATAACCTAGTCTACCAAAATATAACGTTGTTTCTTTCTCTTAAGCCCTGCTGTTGCTTGGTCCAAATAATGGTCATCCTTTTTTACATTAAGGATCTAGTCATACATCAGTAGAAATCCTTTTTATGAATGACCCTATTGGCACTCATCCCCCAAAGAAACAACCCTAATGAAACATACACTAACTAACTGACACGTTTGAAACATAAAACCCCATGATAGTCTAATGTCTGTCCTGTCCCGCTGTTATTGTCCAGGAGTGGAGCCTCAGACCCTGGAGGAGTGGAAGCTGTTGATCCGGTTGTCTCAGCGCTGCAGCGGGGCCTCAGACTCAGATCAGCTGACCGGTGTGAATGGGAGCGGCTGGTCCAACGGCTCAGAGGACTGTGGAGGGAAGATGAGCCCGGAGACCCTGACCCTGATGCTGGCTCGCTGCGCCGGACCCGACCGCACCATGGCCGTCCTGGAGGAGTGCGGGGTGCAGCTCGACCTTTCACCCCACTCCAAACTGGTCTGTGAGCTGCTGAGAGTGACTGAGAAGAGGCAGAGGTCAGTCAGGAATTACTGATTATTATTTTCATTCATTAGCAATATTATGAAATGCGCCTCTTGAAGAGAGCAGGGTTAAAAAGGTTCAGTGGTTCGGCGTGCGTAGGAGGGGGAAATGTGTTAATTTGCTCATCTCTCTGCATTGACCAATCAGCTCGCTACTCGTTCACCATGAGTGTGACCCAGGTACCACATCAAAATATGTCACGTTGGCTACCCTGAATTCAAAATGGTGGATAATACTGATATCAGGACAGCAGAAAGCCTACACATCTTCTGTGGCAGACTGAAAACCCACCTGTTTTGACTGATCCTTGGCAAATATATAGAATTTTTATTTAAAAAATGATCTGTTCGCTGGGAAGCTCTCAAGAGAGGATTGGATTATTTGAAGCTAATGCAGTAGCACTTTCAATGCTTGGCTCATTGGAAGCTAATACTTGAAGGAATCCTGCTTTTTCATGGTTAAATGCACTTATTGTAAGTTGCTTTGGATAAAACTGACTGCTAAATAAAATGTAATGTAATGTGTTTGACAGTAATCAATTGAGTGTAAAAATCACCTTGTGATATGTAGATTTTGAACCAAAATGTGTGAATGAAGTATGAGATGACAGCTCAGGAACTGCTTCTTCTATAATTAAAGAGAATCAGTTTCATTTGGCTGTTCTTCATCTTGAGGTATTGCATTTCTAAATATTTAGTTTTTGTTTCAGAGCGATGATCCAGACGATGCTGGAGCGCTGCGATCGGTTCCTGTGGTCTCAGCACGCCTAACTGAAGACCAGCTGCAGCTTCTCTACGTAAACAACATAACTAACACTGAAATGTACCTGCTGTGAAGCTGCAACCCAATGTATGCGCTGTAATTAATGTCAAAGCTTTCAAGTTCAATGAAGGAACGTGTCTTCCCAGTAAAAACAGTATTATTACTTTGAACATTGGCACGGACCTTGCTGGATCACGGATACTTTTTTTATGATTTACTTTTATCAAAACTCTTTATATATATGAAAATGAACTAACCAGGTAACACCATGTGAATAAAAACTGTCTATAAGATTATTATAATTTTTTATGTTTTAAGAACAAAATATTTGTCATTAATATGCACGACTAAGAGCAGAAAACAAACACAATTTTAACAGCAGATGTCTTAATGTGTGCTTTTGTTTATTTTCCACAAACCGCAATAAAAATGAAAAACAATAATATATATATTCTTTTTTTACTGTTTATTTATTTTTATTTTTTGTCTTTAAAGTCATATAAAATGCATGTTTCTGCTCCTTACTTTAGTTTTACTGCACCATTTAAAGTGGACCTATCATGCTATATTATAATAATATAGTGTAGGACCATACCTATATAAGGCATATTTATACTTTTTTTTTTTCAAAATACCAAACAGATCATGCATTTTAGCCATGCCTCATTTTGCTCAATTTGACATTTTTTAGCTCTGGATTTGCAAGGGCTGATTCTGTGAGAACAGCACCACCTACAGGCCTGGCATATGTACTACAACGTCTCCAGTGCTTTCGAACGGCAATGGCCGTGGCTGTCTCCTGATTGGTGGAGTTGGCCCAATAGCCGTAGCGCCACTGTCCTGACGTCAGGACAGTGTTAAAATCTGGATCAGTTTTTATCAGATCCGTTGCAGCCCCTTTTTTTAGAGATTTGGGTATGGAGGAAAATAGAGAGGGTTGTGTTTTCTGACACTTTGTGAGTTCCCTGGAACACCGGGGACACATATTCATGTATAAAAGACGTACAAAAGTGCATTTTGCATGATAGGTCCCCTTTAAGTTATCAAAACGGGTATAAAAGAATGTGATCTGACTCTGTATCTACCTTTACGTCCGTGCTTATGTTTTCTTCAACGGGACACGAAGTATTTTCTACATTTCACATGTTGAACGTCACATACAGTGCATTATGGGTAATGTGGAGATAATTTTAATAACTTGGTAACGAAATGGGACTGATGAGTCGGTTGATGGTATCTCACACCTGGAGCATCAAAGGCAGGACGGGGCATCCTGGTGCGTCACTGTTGAGATTGTAAGGCTTTCATTGGGCACAACCGCGCTCTGAGTCACATCATCTACACCCAGTTAACTGACCTTTATTTCTGACATATAATACTTTCTTATGTTCTTCTTCATCAATGTTTCTTCATTTATTTCCCAGAATCCTTGTCTCAACAGTGATGGAGGAAGTATTCTGTTCCTGTCCTTTGATAAAAGTACTATTACCACTCCGTTAAATACCTTGTTATAAGTTATGTGTTGTATTAAAAAGTATGAGTGTATATTTAGGAACATATTGAAAGTAATCAATGCAGAAAAATGATGCCTGACTGTACTAATACTTTATATCATTACTCGTGTATTAATGTATAAACAGGATTTTACTGTTGTAGTTGTGAGGTGAAGCTAATTTCTATTTATTTTATACAGGTTTGCAACTCATTATTTTCATTATGGATCAACGGCCTCAATGTTTAATCAATTCAGTTGCTTGTTTGATAACATTTCTCCAGTTAATATTCCAAACTTGAAAAATATGAATACAAATCCATAAAATAATAACAAGGAAAAGCATCAAATCCTCACTTTTGAGAATAGAAGCTGGCATTCAATTTATATAAATGAATTAATGAGCTCATCTTGTATTGTATACAGGGCCAGGTACAGTAGTGTTCTTTTTACAACAGTGTCATAGTAAAAAGCTTTTCATATGTTCTATATGTCACAGTGTTAATCTCTATAGTAACTAATCCAATGAAATAAATGTAATGCAATAACAAGTACAATATTAGCCCTGAAATAAAGAAGAGTAGTACCTACCTTACTTGAGTAAATGTACTTGGTTAAATTCTACCACTGATGCTCACCCACCTGTCCTGTGTCACTGGCACAGGGACGATCAGATTGCAAGGAAAATAACCCATACAAAAATGTACTGAATGTCATTGTGACATTTAAATGTGTTGCTGCTTCATAATAACAATTTAGTCTTTACAATATGCTTCTAAGTTTGCTTCAACATTCAATATTTCCACCGCCAGTTTTTGTTTATGTCCTCTGCTACAACGATGTATTCTCTCGAGGGATGGGTAGAATTGTGTAATTTGATTGAAATGATCCAAATAATGACAAGAGGTTTTCATCAGGCGGACAGAAGTACATTTTGATTTGAATGTTATGAGGTAGAGGCAGTGAGTCGAGTGTTTGATGTTGCCTTCCTGTCACCAGGAGGACAGATAAGGGGATTCTGCACATACCTGTTGGCCCTGCTGCCAGTGTATAAAGGGCATCCTCGAAGCCCCCAAACACACACACACACACACACAAATGTTGGCTCTCAATATGAGTCACAATCAGCGCAGTGGTTAATTTCCTGAATCTCTTCTGCACTGATTGAACAGTTTTAGATGGACGCAGCACTCATGGTAAGTTCATTTGTATTTCTTTCTTAAGTTTATTAAACAAAAAAGGATGTTTCTCTAGTTACTCAGTCAGTTGTGTTTTGGTTTCAGGTGTCTGTCTCTCTGCTTGGACTGGCTCTTGTCCTGCTCTCCTTCCCTGAGCGTGTTTCACTGAGCAGAGTATTTGACAACACCTCAGGTAGGATTTCTGCTGGATTGTTTCTGATGCGTCCACATATTAAGGAGCTTTTTCTAACTGAATCTTTGTTTTCCTCTGTGGTGCGTCAGGATCTGTGTATCCAGGATCTGTCTTTGTGAAGGAGGCTCTTCAGAGGGCCATCAAGCTGACTGATGCTGCTTACGCCCGCACAAGTGAAAGGTAAAAATGACTCTATGGACACGATCTAAATACTTTACTTTTGTATTTACTTTTAATGCTACTTCATATTTTAATTCCACTACAGCTAAGGGGCAAATAGTAAATACTGTTAAATGCATCGTCACAAAGGTGAAAACAGGGCTGTATTTTTTGAGAAGCTCATATAAAGGTGACTGGTGATTGTCAAAGTTAGTGATGCTGCAAACATATGATGAATTCATAACACATGATGCATACAGTACCTCTAGGTGAAACTTCCCAAAAGTATATGAAGGAGTTAAATTAGCTCAAACCTAAACATCTACAGCAGTACAAATCAGAATACACATTGATACAGCAGTAATATAAATCAAAAAACAACATATAAAATAGTAAAAACTGACAGGGAACATATTTCTGCAATATGCGTCCTACTATAAATACTTTAGCTGATAATACTTACATACTATTACCTATGTACAGTTTGACTGCAGGACTTAACTTATGGTGGATTAATTTTACATTGTGATAGTAGTACTTTTAACTCAGTAAAGGATCTGAATACTTCCTAGGAAAAAGCACATGTTATGGTTATATAAGTCATTGTGTTGGCACCAATATCAAGTATAACAAATGTTTCCAGGGTGAAGAAGTCTCTGTCTGAAGGCGCTCTGAGACCCAGTGACCTGCTGGCCCAGTTCAAACAGACTGAAGCCAGAACCAGGACTCAGATCCGAGCGGCCGAGCTGCTGGACAACACGGTGGAGCTGATCAGAGAGATGGTGTACACCCACACCATGGTGCAGCCCGACCCAAAGGGTACCGAGCAGCAGCAACACTACACGTAGAAATATCTCTGACTATTTGAATAGATGTTGAGGTAATTTGTTCCTTAATGCCCCCATTTTGTGTAAATGTAGGCCAGTATTTGTTGGATCTACTTACTGTATTTCTCACTCAGGTCAATAAGGCAAAGGTAAATTATCTGATCAACCACTCCAAACAAGTTCAAACCAGCTTCTTCTTTTTTGATATTCCTTTTAAATATTGAAGTTATAATCTTTATGACGTGGGCGTTTTGTTTACTGTATGTTCCCAAAGAGCTTCTGAGTGACATGGACATGGAGGAGCTGCTGCAGGTGACCGGCTGCTCCACTGAGCTGCAGAGACCCAGCTGTGAGTCCGACTGTCTGTCCGAGCGCTACAGGTCCGTCACGGGAGAGTGCAACAACAGGTCAGTGCTTAAGAAATAAATATAGTCACAGAGCAGTGCTGTCATTAATAGGTTGCTATGTTTCTAAATCTGCAAAATAACTAGGAACCTAATATCTAACTTTCTCAAAATGTAGTAGAGTAGAATCAAAAGGTAGCATAAAGCGTAAATACTCAAGGAAAGTAAAAAGTACCGCTTAGAGGTTTTAAATACTGTGGAAAAGTATGGAATATGATTTTTAGCAAGGTCTATGTCTGGATAAGGATTGAGTTTTCCAAAAGTCTTCTAAAGAGTTTCAGGATTCCAAAAAATAAATAAACCATAGCAGTTTACCATGGTGTTTGGAGCAGGGCATCAACACTACCAAACAAATGGCGATCAAAAGAAGAAATGCATCCCTGTGCATTGAACTATCCAACATCATTATGTTTCATTCTTAAACACAAAAAGAGGAAATATGGTACTGCACAATGAAGACTGTACTTTCAAGTGTATTTTATCTATGGTGATAATACTATTTTTCTACTTAGGAAATGTTTTGAGGGCAGGTATTGTATTTGTATTGGAGTATTCTCACAGTGCAGAACTGAATACTTCTTCCATGACTGACTTTGTGTTTGTCGTGTTCTCGTTTAGACAGAATCCCAGATGGGGGGCTGCAAACATCCCATATTCCCGCTGGCTGCCTGCCGAGTATGAGGATGCGTGGGGGGTGCCCAGAGGCTGGGACCCTCAGCACACCTACAATAACGCCACTCTGCCTCCAGTAAGAGTCCTGCAGCTGCTCTCAGCCGTTCCTCTGTCCGTTAGCCGCTCTGACTCCTGTCTCTGTTTCAGGTGCGGAGGGTGTCTCAGGAGGTTCTGTTCACTCACAACGACAACATCTCTCTGGACTCGGCCCTGTCCCACCTGCTGGTGGAGTGGGGTCAGTGGATCGACCACGACGTGGTGCTGACCCCTCAAAGCCCCAGCACTGCCGCCTTCAGGACCGGAGCGGACTGCACACGCACCTGCAGCCGGGACGCACCCTGCTTCCCCATACAGGTGCCCCTCCTACCAGCTGTTGCTTAGTGCTCTTGTTCTTTGGCTTGATGGTCACACATCTTTCATTGTATTTGTAAGATAGAACTTTTATAGAAGTGTTTGTGCGTAATATTGTTTATACACATACTGAGATGCAGTAAGTATTTCAATTATTTCAATGTTCCTCAAGTGTCTTTCATTTTAAAATATAACTTTTATTGATCTTGACAGAAATGTGTGTGCCTAATATTCTCGGTAGACATACTGAAATAAGTATTTAAATTATTGCAATGTTCCTCGTATACAATACAAAGTATACATACAATATAAATACTAAAAGGATGCCTATGCGAAAAAATTCAATGAATTGCTTAAAAGTAAAAAAATTAAATAGGAGCAAAGTGCAAATGAAGGTGCTTTACAATAATAAACAACTGCATTGGTTCTTCATTGGCCCATGCCCAACCCTTCCACCAATTTCCATGAAATTCTGGCCTGTACCTTTTCTGTAATCCTGCTGACCAACCAGGAACACATGCTCTTTAGCGGTTACAAGTACTCTACATTACTATGAAAGGAATATTTATTTGGTTTAAAATCATTTTAGATTTCCCCTCATAAAGTATAACAAATGTTAACCTCTCTCCTCAGATCCCTCTGTCAGATCCTCGCAACGGGGTCCAGAGTTGCATGCCCTTCTTCCGCTCTGCTCCCAGCTGTGTCCCGTCTTACCGCCACCGAGAGCAGCTCAACGCCATCACCTCCTTCGTGGACGCCAGCATGGTGTACGGCAGCTCCAGCGGCCTGGCCTCGGCCCTGAGGAACAGCTCCTGTCATCTGGGCTCCATGACCCTCAACTCCCAGCACTCAGACCAGGACCTGGCCTACATGCCTTTCCTGCCGCGCCTGCAGGCTCATCTGGACCCCTGCGGCCCCCGAAACTCCTCCAGCTCTCGGGCATCGGACAGATCCAGCCACCAGGGGAACACCACATCCTGCTTTCAAGCTGGTGAGCGAGTGAATTTACCCGAGGTGAAGTTAGTTTTAGATTCTTTCTTTCTCAGTTTTACAGACCGAGCGCAGTCAGAAGATGGTGAGCTCACATCCAAGCCCTCACTCTTAACCACTGGGTTGAATTAGGGGCCATCGATAAATTACCGTTTAAATAACACAAAACCAACGTTATTATTTTAAATATCCTCTGTGATAACTTGCTCATGTTATCAAAAGTTTAGCTAGAAAGTATATCATTAATTTGTCTTATTTGACAAATCTTTTTGATAACTGATGTGTCATGACTGAATTGTACAAACACATTTTATTAGAAGAACACTGGAAACGTACGTAAAGGCAAGATTTTTTTATTATTTAAAATATTTATATAAAACATTTTTGTTAAATTAGGTAATAATATACTGTATGGATTTGGAGTCATTAGGTCATATGACATGGAAGCTATTGAAAATAAGTTAGGCTACTAGAGTAAACGTACTGTTACTTTTGACCACTGAGTAGTGAGCAATCTGTTCTCTGCTGGCTTCACTGGAGCTGTTGTTTATGATTAATGTTTCACAGGTGATTCCAGAGCGAATGAGCACCTGGGTATGATCGCTCTGCACACACTCTTTCTGAGAGAGCACAACCGGCTGGTCAGAGAGCTGCACCTGCTCAACCCTCACTGGAGCCCGGACACACTCTACCAGGAGGCCCGCAAGATCATGGGAGCCATCCACCAGGTAGCCACCTCCACCCGTTCCCCTCAGACTACTGGATTTGCCAGTCCTCTGACCTACTTCCTTTCTCTCCCAGATCCTCACATGGGAGCACTACCTCCCGCGGGTCCTCGGTGAGAGCACCATGTCTCGCCTGATGCCTCCCTACGAGGGTTACGACCCTGAGGTGGATCCCAGCATCGCTAACGCCTTCGCTGCTGCCGCTTTCCGTTTTGCCCACGTCACCGTGCATCCAGTGGTGACCAGGCTGGGTCCGGGATACACCCCTAACTCCCAGCATCCTCCGCTGCCACTGCATCATTCACTGTTTGCCTCTTGGAGGGTCGTGCAGGAAGGTCAAAATGCAAAGCTGTCATACAAAAAAGCTGTTTTTGTTTATCTCTTGTTTTTATTCTCTGTCAAAGCGTCTTTGAGTTTTTAGAAAAGCGCTATATAAGTCTCATGTATTATTATTATTATTATTATTATTATACATTCAACTCCAAAAACAATTCACTAACTATGTCTGTTTCTATCTTTTCTCCTGGTGTCAGGTGGTATAGACCCTGTGCTGCGTGGTCTGTTGCTGTCTCCGGCCAAGCTGCAGACCCCCGGGCAGATGATGGTGGAGGAGCTGACGGAGAGGCTGTTTCAGGCTCAGGGGGGGATGCCTCTGGACCTCGGGGCCCTTAACCTGCAGAGGGGCCGGGATCACGGCCTGCCTGGTACCAGCTTTATGACTTCAGCCACAGTATAGTGTTACTGTAACATACCGATGTCACCTGCTGACTGGTTAAGAGACATTTCAACAAAGGGTGTAGTTCGGTAGAGAGAAAGGAGTTCCTACATGAAACTGCTCACAACAAGGTCTTGATATCCATGATATCCTGAAAGATATATTGTGGTTGATTTTTTATTAATTTGTATTCTGTTGATGCTTTGAGCACCGGCTTTTTTTTAATTGCCCTTTAATTAGATTATTATCTAGTCCAATTATATTGGAGTAAAAGCAGACATTTGCATTAGGCAACTCACACCCAAACAATCTCAAGGAAGAGGAAATATTCTGTATTTTTGAAATCTTTGGGTAAACCGTCCTTTTAAATATATGCTCTTTGCTATAGAACAATGTTTAGTCTTTAGCCCCAAAAGTTAATATCTGAAGTTTTTTAAGTTATTCTGACTTTTAGTCACAGCCTGAACCCCTGTATGTAAAGCTCTCCCCTCACTTCCTGTCCCACCAGGATACGGCTCGTGGAGGAAGTCCTGCAGCCTCTCTGTTCCCAACACCACATCAGACCTGGCAGAACTCCTGGGAAACTTCACGTTGGCTCACAAACTGCAGCTCCTGTATGGGACGCCGCAGAACATCGATATGTGGGTGGGGGCGATCTCTGAGCCCGCTCTGCCCGGAGGAAGAGTCGGACCGCTGCTGTCCTGCCTGCTGGCGAGACAGTTCAGAGCGCTGAGGGACGGGGACAGGTGAAACCAACTACTTACCATTCAAATTAGGGCTGCATCTTACAATTACTTTGTAGACTAATTAGTCAATGTTTACAAGACAAGAACATATCAAAATATCCATCCCAGGTTCTCCAAATCCAAGTTGATCTCTTTAGATGTCTGGTTTTCTTAATCCAAAGCCCAAAGATATGAACTTAAATATAATAACTAACAGATACAAACAGAAACATCTCCACATATAACAGGCTGAAAACAGCATTTGTGCCATTTTTGCATGACAAAATACTTTAACAATTAAATTGATATCAACATTTTCTTATTGTTGATTAACTAAGTGTTGCACCTCTGATTTTGATGCAAAAAGAGAAACCTGAAACTGTCTTTTCTCTCCCTAGGTTCTGGTGGGAGGTGGAGGGAGTGTTCAGCAGCTCCCAGAGGAGACACCTCCACGCCGTCTCTCTGTCCCGCATCATATGTGACAACAGCCGCATCACTCACGTCCCCGTTGACCCCTTCTCACGCACCGAGAGGCCAGAGGACATGCTGCCCTGTTCTCACCCGCTCATCACCCACCTCGACCTCAGCCCGTGGAAAGAACCAGACACAGGTGAGGAAGAGGAAAATAAAACAGTGTTGTGTCAGGTTTGTGTTGTTGTTTTTTACATGGATCTTTCCTCTCTCTTTCAGATCCCAGCTGTGGTCCCATACCCAGGATTCAGTCTGGCTACTCTCTTCTCTGTGGCTCTGTGATTCTGTTTCAGTGTCACTCTGGCTTCAAGCTGCTGGGATCTTCATCCATCAGCTGTGATCCAAACAGCCAGCAGTGGAGCCCCACACCCCCAACATGTCAAGGTACCGAGACTGAACTGGTGACCTTTAAATATGTTAGGCGAGAGATTGGGAGATTGGGATTGGGCTGGTTTATTTGTTCCAAATCATATCTAACAAAATAGTTTGAGGGTGTTGTCAAGATTCAGATGTGAACCACAACTTTTCACTTAACTTTAGATCTTGAAAACCACAGCAAAATCAGTAAAACAACCTACTTTTAAGGTCCATTCAATTAGCAATAATTGTGAATAACTGGCCATCAAAGAGAAAAAGCATGCAACACTGATGAAAGTGTTTCTTCCTTATTGTTGCAGATATAAACGAATGTGAAGAGCAAACTTCTGTCTGCCCACAAAACTTGGAGTGTCTCAACACGCCAGGCTCCTTTATCTGCTCAGGTTGGTTCAGATCACTTCATTATGCTCTTCTTTCAAGCTCATTGTCTGCCTGTTCCATATGAAGTGACAAATCCCTCCATACTTACATTGTTGATTTGACATGCACAACATACAAGCATATTTTATTTAACATCTTCTTAATGTCCCTTCATGTTTGTGTGCTCTGATCCAGACCCCTCCTCGCTGTCGGTCGTCTCTGTCGTCGCTGCAGTGATAGTGGTGATCGGTAGTGTGGCCGCACTGATAGTTATCATGATCTTTTATCGAAGGTAAGATACAAATCAATGTTATGGCTCCAGATTTAGCTATTTTATACAAATAGGACAGCCTACAAGCCCTAACAGCCAAGTGTAGAAACACTTAACAGTAACTAAATCCCTGTGAAACAGAAAATCAAATCTTAAAGGGGACCTATCATGCAAAATGCACTTTTGTACGTCTTTTATACATGAATATGTGTCCCCGGTGTTCCAGGGAACTCACCAAGTGTCAGAAAACACAACCCTCTCTATTTTCCTCCATACCCAAATCTCTAAAAAAGGGGCTGCAACGGATTTGATAAAAACTGATCCAGATTTGAACACTGTCCTGACGTCAGGACGGTGGCACTACGGCTATTGGGCCAACTCCACCAATCAGGAGGAGACAGCCACGGCCATTGCCGTTCGAAAGCGCTGGAGACGCTGTAGTACATATGCCAGGCCAGTAGATGGTGCTGTTCTCACTGAATCAGCCCTTGCTAAAACAGATCTAGAAATGGTCAAATTGAGCAAAATGAGGCATGGCTAAAATGCATGATCTGTTTGGTATTTTGAAAAACAAAAAGTATAAATATGCCTTATATAGGTATGGTCCTACACTATATTATTCAAATATAGCATGATAGGTCCACTTTAAAGTAAAAAAAAAACGAAAACGAAAAGACAAGTTTCTATTGAATACAGTAAATCACAACATCTAACACAAGTATTTTCTTGATGATGTAAACAAAAACAACACTTGTTACTAAAGCTGTTAGACAAATGTAGAAGTATAGAGTAGCATTAAATGGAAATACTAAATGTGTAATCAAGTGCAGCACTAGTGTAAAAATACATACATATTTAAAAAAATATAAAGTGAAATAAATGTATTATATTGTTTATTTGTCCCTGAAACAAAATAATACAAAGGAAGTTTTAAAGTGAAAAATGAATAACTAAATCTCTTTCTTCTAGATATTTCCCCAAGAAAGAAGAGTTGGTCAATGCTGGATGTTGCCAGGGGAAAAGTTAAAAAAAGAGTTTGGTAAATGTATGTTCGTTCTCTATCAGTATGTTATATAAAAACTAACTTACAGTATTCATTATTTCAAGTTGCAAACAGTGTATATTGATCTGTGTAGAGGTAGAATGTTTTCTCGTTTTAATTTATAATAACCATATAACACTAAGGTGTGATAATCATTTTACAACAGTTTGTATCGCTGATTGTACTCATTCATTTACTGCAAGTCTAACTACTTATTAATTAAGGTTGTAATCTGTGTGATGAGGTCATGAAAACAGAATAACAAGCTTACCAAAGACCTTTTAAATCCGGATGCTGAAATCTTACAGGAATGTCAGCTCCAAAAACAGATTTTCATACCACAAAGCCCCTCCGAGCGGTTCCCTGTGCCTGAATCCTGCTTACAAATCTGTTAAATAGCGGTGTTTCAGAGCGTTTATTACCGGGGGTTACCCGGCTGTTCCTGCCCACGACCTTAATCGAAAGACAGATCAGCGCCATGCCCTTAAGGAAGTACAGATGGCAGTTTATGGCCATTCTGAGCTGGGGCAGGGGGCTATATTTAGAGAAAAGCCTCTAAAACTAAATGTATGAAAAACTAGAATTACAATTATTTTACGATTTCTTGAGTTATGGCCACAAAGATGTTTTGTGAGGTCACAGTGACCTCCAAATTTGAAGATATGTCCCTCAAGGCATTCCTTAAATGAGTCTTAGACGAACAGACAAGAAAACATAAATACCTCCAGCCATAAAAACTCAGATATGATTAGATATTAAAGTGGAACATTTTACAAGAAATTCTCAAAAACGTTTAAATAAAGTCAAAGAATTTGAGTTTTTTGTGTCAAGGAAACACATTGGCTGGTTCAGTTTCATCTCAAATGCCATGAGTAAACAAGGAGTTTTTTCTTGAATATCAACCTACAATTTGACAAATTATACAAATGTTTCTGTGTCATCTGGTTCTGATCAAATGAATCCCTGTGACGTTCCCACACTAAACATCGCAAAGAGCCGAAATCAAAGACAAACCAGCTGCTTCATTTTTCTGCTATCAGATTTTATTCAAGCGAGACCTATAAATCACACACAGTACAAAGGAGATGTAGTGAGGCTTCAATGTGTTGTCTTTAATGGAGTGTTTTGATTATCAGTACACTGAGGTTAGGCGCCTTACAAGCCTAAAAAAGGCTAAGAAGCAGTTATTATTGCACTTTCTGAAACAATATTCATTATTTTTTAAATTGTTCATTCATAATAACTAATCTATACTGTAAAGCACAACCAATATACATTGTATAATATGGCTACGTACTGCATTCATGCCATGTTATTTATGGCTTTTAATTGTCTTTACATCCTCTTTCATTGCATAAAAAACATTTCATATTGCAATCACTTGTATTAAAGCTTGTTCATTTTCGGACTACATTGTGAAACTGTCACCATTTTGAGCGTGGGGGTGTCATAACTAAATCATTAACAATATTTCTATAATGAAGTGCAGGTCAGGCTGACATGAAGCTGTTTATATTGTGTGAATTTGAACGGCATCGAGGACAGGTAGTGCAAGAGGGCATCAACACATGTAAGGCCATGCTGAGAGAAAGTCTGTTGTGTTTGAGCCGATAGCCGAGAACTAGTGTGAATTATATTCATGTAAAAATACTTGTTGTGAAAAAACCACATAGATATTGCTTATCTCACAGTAGAACTATAACATTACATACAAATGTGTAATACTTGAGGTAAGAGACCAACTAAACTCTCTACACTGCTGTCATGTGTTGTGCTCATCTTTACATGATACATGAAGTCTATTAGGATCAACGTGAGAAGTTTACTCCACCGGGGAGAATTACTGGAGGCCTGCCGTATAACAGAAATATATTTTACATATCTGGGAATAATGCTTTTTTTAATGTCATGTTTCCTTCTCGCTGTGCTGGTTTAACTCTTTGTAATATTGAATAAAAGAGGCACATGAACTTTCTCTGCTTCCCTTGTTGGTCGACGCCTGCTGCAGCACTGATGCTGTACAACCTCTGCTACAAAATCTAAAGACCTGATTGTTACCACAGTTTAACCCTGATCTCAAAGATGATGAGGGTCTCTAGCCCTGGTCAGTGAGGTAGAAACCTAACTTAGCCACGGCCATCTCTCTGCGGAGACGCATCACCTCCCAGAACATCTGCTCCGCTGGACCGAGGCAAAGAGACAAAAGATACAACATGTCAGCTGCCTGAAGAAACTCGGTTTGCAAACAGTGGTGGATAGCATGGACAAAAATAACAGTCAAGATAAGCGATTGTTACTTTATGATTATGTTGACTCAAGTACAAAAGGTATCTCATGAAAACGTCTCAAGTAGTGAGTAACTTCATTAAATGCAATTTATAACATTGATGTATTTAAGGTGATAATGCTAAGTGCATGTTAAGGGTGAGTATTTTATCTTATTTCTTTCTGTCAGACAATCGCTATGATACATGTGCACTCAGCTAAAAATATTAAAGTGGACCTATCATGCTATATTTGAATAATATAGTGTAGGACCATACCTATATAAGGCATGTTTATACTTTTTCTTTTTCAAAATACCAAACAGATCATGCATTTTAGCCATGCCTCATTTTGCTCAATTTGACATTTTTTAGCTCTGTTTTTGCTAGGGTTGATTCTGTGAGAACAGCACCACCTACAGGCCTGGCATATGTACTACAGCGTCTCCAGCGCTTTCGAACGGCAATGGCCGTGGCCGTCTCCTCCTGATTGGTGGAGTTGGCCCAATAGCCGTAGCGCCACTGTCCTGACGTCAGGACAGTGTTCAAATCTGGATCAGTTTTTATCAGATCCGTTGCAGCCCCTTTTTTAGAGATTTGGATATGGAGGAAAATAGAGAGGGTTGTGTTTTCTGACACTTGGTGAGTTCCCTGGAACACAGGGGACACATATTCATGTATAAAAGACGTACAAAAGTGCATTTTGCATGATAGGTCCCCTTTAAGCTAAATGTATCTGTAAAAATAGCATGGAGTGTGTAGCCCAATGTAATGTACAAGTACATAATATGCTATTGCAAATGTACTTGGCCAATAATAAAGAGTAGTCTGCGTAACAACTATTCTTAAAAAGCACAATATATTGAGAAAGATAGTATATGAAACAAAGAACATGTACAAAATACAATATAATACATTACTACCAACCACTGTTGGCCTAGTAAGAATCTAAGTATAAAAACAGACTCGTACTAACTACATTAAACAATATATGAAATTCACTTTAGTGTTAACTTACCATCATGTCTCACCAGGCCCTGCTGGATGTAGCGGATATAAGTAAAGAAATTGCAAACAGCCGTGATCTAGAAGGGGGAAATAAGGACAAAATAAAGACGAGGTCACATGTAGCAACACTTGTGTCTGATGAAGGTTACAGAGATAAGGGATAGTTACCCGTGCTCGGCTGGAGGGAGAGATGCAATAGTAGCTTCCTTTGTCACCAAGTTTAATGCGATGTCTGCAGAGGCGCGACATGCCGCTCAATGCACATTTTCTACAGACAGAAACACAGGCTGTCAGAAAATGAAAGAGACCAGGATACACACAGTCATGTTTTATCACAGCAAACGTAAGATACATCTCATCAGGTATTATCAACAATTCAATGTGAGAACACAGTCCAGGTGCAAAATGATTTAGTAGTGGATGGCAACACATATTAGTGCACACTCAGAGAAAGTTAGTCACTGGAAGAGAAACAAGAGACATGCAGAACTGGTTCAGTTACAGATTTCTTTACAACTTTTGCGACGTCTGGAAAGACAGAATTAATTTCATGCTTCAGTTCTTTGCGTTAGTGAAAAGCTGAACAGCTGATTGTTCCTGAGAGGACTTACGTCTCTATTGCTGCTCTAAAGCCACTGGAAGAAAAAGATTAAAGATTTTTTTTTTTTAAATCAGACAGTGATTAGAAATGTGCCCGTTGGTTAAACCCCTCCTAAAATACCTTCAGCTATAACGTCTAATCATCAGAGGAGATTACAAAACCAAAGAAGGATGGATTATCAGTGTTGACTTGTTTAGCAGTGAATGGTGAAAGAGAGGATGGGATGATAGATGATAAGAACAGACTGAACTCACTTTGGGCCGCCACACTCGACAGCAGAGGCTTTCACCATGGGTAACGCTGACATGGCCACCGGCTCGATGGTCAAAGAGTTGTTTTCCACTGCGCTCTGCACCAGCTGCGACAGCTGTGGACAACAGGAATCATTATCAATAACTTCAGACACTAAAATACAGCACACACAGCGAAGTGTTCATGTAAAGAAGCGGTGAGATGCTGACCTCAGACTTTGTGAAGGAGAGGCAGGGTCCGATGTCTTCTCTGTAGACTCGACTCAAGAAGGCAGAGGAACGCTCCACACTCAGGTTCTCCTTCCACATCAAAAACTCTGCATACAGAACGGAGTCAATCTGCAAGAAGAATCCATCACTTATTAAACTGTCAATGTGTCAACTATAGGAAGTTATACCCCCTTTCTCCCAACCCTACATAACCCAGTTTATTTAAAGGGGACCTATCATGCAAAATGCACTTTTGTACGTCTTTTATACATGAACATGTGTCCCCGGTGTTCCAGGGAACTCACCAAGTGTCAGAAAACACAACCCTCTCTATTTTCCTCCATACCCAAATCTCTAAAAAAGGGGCTGCAACGGATCTGATAAAAACTGATCCAGATTTGAACACTGTCCTGACGTCAGGACGGTGGCGCTACGGCTATTGGGCCAACTCCACCAATCAGGAGGAGACAGCCACGGCCATTGCCGTTCGAAAGCGCTGGAGACGCTGTAGTACATATGCCAGGCCTCTAGATGGTGCTGTTCTCACAGAATCAGCCCTTGCAAAAACAGAGCTAACATTTTTCAAATTGAGCAAAATGAGGCATGGCTATATATATATATGATAAATATGCCTTATATAGGTATGGTCCTACACTATATTATTCAAATATAGCATGATAGGTCCACTTTAAGGAACGTTGCGATGCACAAGATGACAATACATTTTAAAACAGATACAAGCAAACTGGCTTGCTATTACAATAAATATAATATTGTGCAAAAACACTAAAGAGGTGATTTGGAAAGTCTAGAAATGACAACAGAGCAAGACATCCCAGCACATTTCCAAATATCATTCAATAACTATTTTGATCGATAAACATTAGAAAGATCTGGAAAATGGATTGTGCAAAAACGTTTTGGGCTTCACCACTCAATACAATAAATCAAAAACAACACCATTAAGGAAAGTCAGTCAACACAACTCTAAGAAGACATAAGAGCAACAACAAGACAGTATACAGACAAGCTCTGTGAGGATGTACTGAGGCTATAGGTGCTCTGAGCTAAATGCTAATGAAGTCATGCTAAAGTTAACAATTCATAATGTTAACCAGGTTTAGAGCCTAGCATCATACATTGGTTTTATTTGCTAATAAGCACCAAACATAAGTAAAGCTGTGGTTAATGGGAATGTCCTCAGTCAGAAATGAAGAGAGTAACGAAGACAAACCATTAAGTAGATGTGGAAATATATTTACAGGATAAGTGAAAACATTTACCTGATGGTAGCACCAGAGGAAAAGTTAGCAAAACCTTAAATATCTGAAACATCTCAACAACTATTGCATTAATTGGAATTAAATGTGGCGATCACTAGAGCAAACCATGGTTAAGAATCATGAGAAAACACAGAAAGCTGGGTAAAGATTTTAAAGAAGTTTAAGAATTCACTTTTCTACCAGCCCCTCCATTAATCTTATGACGCTTTTGTTCTTGCTGCGTACTTTCACAACCTATTTTTCACAGTCGAATGTGTCATCCAATTACTTATGTGAAAATTATTTTAAAAAAGGGGAATATG